GGAGTTTTTGTTGTTTGGGGTTTTTTCTTCACTGGTCCTTGAACTCAGGGTTGGGTGCTGTCTCTGAGCTTCTTTTGCTCAAGGCTAGTGCTCTACCACTTGTGCAACCTCACACATCAGGCTTTTTTGGAGATAAGAGTGTCACTGACTTTCCTGCCCAGGCTGGCTTCAAACTGTGATCCTCAGATCTAAGTCTCCTGAGTAGCTGGGATTACAAGTGTGAGCCACTGGCACTTCATGTAAGTTTTAACTCTGTTTTAGTTCTCTGTTCAAATTTTCCTATCAGGCAGATACTAACCTTGTTGATATCATCACTATCCTGATACCGGTACTTAGAAGTACCTTCTTCCCCAAAGGTGCTAAGTTCTCATATCCATCCTAGATGAGAGACCAACTTAAGAAGCAAGATCCACATTGAATCCAGATCCCTTTAAAAACCTCAGAGTTTTCAACTGTCTGTCTCCCTATGCGGGTCAACCGCATACTCCAAAGCTTTGAGTCAACCCTATACTCAAGAACATTGAGTCTGTCCGAAGACTCCGTTTTCAGCCCTTGTTTTAGGGGGCAGCCTGGCCAGTGGGTTGATGCTAATATCATCATGAGAATATACAAGACAGGGTGGGCTTGCGGTGCTGCTTCATTGCTTTCTTTTTAATAGGCACAGCTCCCACATGCCCGGGAGAACCACTACACGTTCGTGGAAGCTCATGACCTGAAAGTGCATGGTTCGTTGGTTTATTTGTTGGTTTTCTGAGCTCTGACCCACCGTAAATTGAATGTAAGCTATGTGAAGAGGTTGCCAACTACTATCTGGTTTAAAATCAGACACATACTGCCCAAGCAGTTTATAGGTAGCTCTTCCCCTCTCTCTTTCTACCTAGCTATACTACATACATGCATATATACAGGTATGTACATATATAATGCATACATAATATGTATGTGTATGTGTATACATATGTGTATATGTATACCTGTTGAGCAGGAACATGAAGTATTGCATGCCTTAATGTATTAAATTAGAGAAGGGGAGTTCTCTCTCTCTCTCTAGGCTATAAGCTTCCAAGGAAAAGGACTCTGTCTTACTTAGCTTGGTTCTCATGCCGATTGAATATGTATTAGATATGAAGGCATCAATACCTTTGAATACATAAGTAGATGAATGAATGAACAATTCAGTGCATGAGCAAATCAATGAGCAGACGTTATCTACACCAGAGATTTTTCATCTTGTCTTACCATTAGAATCATCTGGACATTTTTTAATTATTAAAAAAATCTTTATTAAACAGAAGGGCTGCAGTTAGATAAGTCAAGCAAAGAGTACATATCCTTTTGCACAATTTTTAAATACTGGATAGCTTTTAAACACTGCAATGCCAAGAGCTAATGAGTTCAGAATCTCTGAGGATCTATAGATCACAAGCACAAGTCTACTAAAGCTCTCTGGGAGAGAGGACAAGGTGACCCAATGCAAGGCTCCCCCAGGATCGAGACAGTTCTGTGGTAATACAGCCACTGTGCTATCCCAGACCTGAATAGTTAATGCTAAGCTCATCCAAAACGGTCACCTAGGACCAGTCTGGAGTGATGTATTTTCAATATTTGAAAAGCCATTGGCTTCATGTTTCTGCTTGACACTTACTAATTACATTCAAGCTTGTCGTTCACCTTGACCTCCATCACTGCTTCCCACACTGGTTCTCATTCAAATCTGTGCTGCTGGAATGGACTTGTGTAGAGAATGAGTTCGTGACATCCAAATGGCAGAGGGGGTGGATTAAACCATTGCATCGGCAACAAGCAGCAGACCTGCTGAAGAGCCAAAGCAGAGCTCTCATCACCAATCATGGGAGTGTAAATGAGTGTAGATGCTATGGAAAACGGTATGGAGGTCCCTCACAAAGCTAGAAATGAACCTACCGTTCGACCCAGCAATCTCACTCCTAGACATCAATCAAAAGGCCACGAAATGAGTATGTCAAAGAACCTGTTTGCTGCCACAGTAATCAAGATATAGGATTAGCCTAGGTATCCATCCATAGATAGAAGAATGCATGAAGAAAATGTGGTCTACACAATGCAATACTGTTGGGCAAATAAAATGAGTGAAATCATATCACCTTCACAAACATGGCGGGAACTGAAGACAGGCCCAAAAGGACAAATACTACATGTTCTTACTTCTGTATGGAAGCTACTCTGTGGATCTTGTGAACATATAGAGTAGTAGATACTTGGGAAAGATAAGGAGAAAGGAGGAGAGAAGGTGTGACCAATGGATACAAGGGTAGAGTTGGATAGGAGGAATGATCTCTAATGTTCACAGTAGGATAACTATGGTTGACAACAACCGTCTATTTCCAAACAGCTAATAGTGAGGATTTCAATGCTTTCCAACTCCCTTAAAATAGTACGTGTAAGGCAAAGGATCTGCAAGCTGCCCTGATCTGATTACACACTGTGAATATGTAAGTGTCACTGCCTCATCAACACACAAATCAATGTACAATGTATATGTGTCATTTAAATTGAAATAAGTTTTAAGAGGGAAAACTATCCAGGTGCCAGTGGCTCAGATCTGTAACCCTAGCTACTCGGCAGGCTGAGATCTGAGGATCACGGTTCAATCTGGGCAGGAAAGCCCATGAGACTCTTATCTCCAATTAACCCCTAAAATGCTAAAAGTAGAGCTGTGAGTCTAGCTAGCCTTCAGAACAAAAAAAAAAAAACTCTTAAGGACCATACCCAGGTCCTTTGTTCAAGCCCCAGGATCAGCACATTTTAAAAATTAAAAAAGACTAGGAAAACTAAGCAGGCAGTAAGGATAAAGCACCGGCTTTGCTAATAGAATCCCGATGAACCCTCGTGTATTTTCCTCTCTCCAAATTGAGAACGACACATGCTGACACATTCCTATTTATCGCTTGCTTATGCCAGTGACTCTGATAGGAGTGTGCAGTTTCCGTTGTTTTCTTGGGTGATAAGATAGTCTCCTTGATGGAAAATTCCTTAGGTAGACAAGTTTCTATTCATCATGGAAAAGCTGGTCAATTTGCTGCACGTCTGTGGTCTCTACTAAGCCTATGAATGAGTGTGTGGACAGAAAAATCCGGAACATTCTTCCACCCATGAGGGGAAGATGGCCGCACAGCTCCTCCGGGTCTTGACACTCAGAATGTCGTCCTAAGCCAGTGGTATCAGTGTCACCACGTGTCTGCTAGAAATGCAGAAACTCAACACTTTACTCTCACGCTCTAGAACTCTGGAGGAGGCTCCCGAGTTCCAATGCTACAAAATAAACGAACCAACTTTAAAAAGCAGACTAACCAGAGGTGTGCCCCAAGAATCTACGTTCTAGAAAGTTCTCTGGATGAGAGTTACACCTGCTCCTCTAAGCAAAATATTTGGCCTAAATTCTCACTGTCCTCATTACAGAATCCCCGGGTAGAGGGAAAGCCTGGCAGGCTAATTTAGCACAACCATTGGAAAAGAACCCCAACAATGTGACTTCATTGGTGCCGGGTGACCAGCCCGTTGGGAGGTGGTGACATGATCTCCACAGCTTGGGCGTTGTTAGTATGATTATCGGTTCAGCGGGCAGTAGCCCTGACCTCTTTATTGCTTAGGCCTCTACCGTGAGCTGCCCACACAAAGGTTAGCCTTTCATGCTTCACACATATCACAGGAAGCAGTGATGGGAGAAAGGGCTAGCACCCTGGCTCTGAATCTCACCTGCGACAGGATGAATGCTCATTCTGCGTCTCTCTCTCTCTCTCTTCATAGCGATTTCATCTTTCACTATTTACCCCAGCCTGGCCCCGGGTATCTTCGTCTGCCCCATGTGCATAGTAATCAGACTCAATGCCTGGAGTTATTTGGGAACCCATATATGAGAACATGTAGAAGTATCTAAGAGCCAAAACACTTCAGATGCTTCCAATAGGTGATAGTCGGGCAGCTGCCGGACGCCCCCTACTGGTGGGACATTCAGTTAGCATGAGTTGTAAAAGCCCGCTTACATACTATAGTCCACGTGTATGATCTCACCACCTCTCAGGCAAGCAGAAGAGGGTAATCCTTACACCAATGACAAAGAAGTGGCTCAGAGACCACTGTCTCTGTCCAATGTCACCTTCGTGCATGGAGGCTTGGTTGTCCCTGGTTCACTCTAGCCTTTTTACTGCCTCTGTTCACAGACACACAGAAGCTCACACTTATGGACAGACTCAAAGAACTCCCTGACATAATAGAAATGTCTTACCTGATCACGGTTCAAGGCCAGCCTGGGAAAAAGTTAGCCATCTTTATCTCCAAAACCACCCAGTCCTAGTGGTCACTCACTTTTAATCTCAGGAACTAGGGAGGCAGAGAGGGGAGGATGATTTTCTGAGGCCAGCCCTGGACAAAAATGCGAGAGTCCATCCAAGAAACAAACCATGAGCAAAAAGATGGGGGAGGCAGCTTCCCGTGGTAGAGCTGATGGCAAGTGATCATGGGGCCCAAGGATGATCCTTAGTACCACAAAAGAAAAGGCCCTGCCCCAGTTGAAATCCAATGGCTTCCAAAAACAGGTGGCCACTGAACATTGACCTGCCACTAATGTGACTGACCAAGCAATTAACACTTTTTTCATTTAATTCATTTAAATTTAAATAGCCACCTGTGTGTGTGCGCGTGTGTGCATGTACACGCATACACAGCACTAGAGAAGAAACTGGAATTGTGTTTCAATGGTTTCTACCTTCAGATCAGAGTAGATCTAAGCTCCTGTGAGCTTTTCCCAACCAGGTGTGTTGTTTGGGTTTGGTTCGGTTGTTTAATTCCTTTTCCCCCGTGCTGGGGATGGAATCCAGTTTGTACACCTTGCTGCACAGTGTGGTTTTCAGGAAGAAGAGTCAATGGCAGTGAGATGGGGTGGAAATGGGGTGTCTTCGTGGTATGACTATTGATCATTGTTTTCTCTCTCTCTCATTCTTCCCTCCCACCTGTCTGTGCAGGAGCCAATGCCTCAGCCCCAGACCAACTGAGCTTAGCGTTAGCCTGGAACAGAGTGGACATCGCCCGCAGCCAAATCTTTATTTATGGGCAACAGTGGCCGGTAGAGTATATGTCATCACTCCTGAAAAGCCCAAAATTGCTTGGGCCAGGGTATTTGTGTAAGGAATCTTTGAGAGTAGCTCGGGAAACTACTTGACTGCCGTATTTTCAACTTAGGATAAAGAAAAAAGACAAAACAGCAGCCAAAAAAAAAAAAATTAATCCAGCATTGTCTCATATTTGGGGAAATGCTGCCCCCTGGTGGTATTCTAACTCCATATACCACCAACTAGTCACCCCTGTTCATTTCTTGAGTGACCATCCGAGGATGGCAAACTTCCCAGTGCCAAGGGTATCTTTCTTAAGCCTTCTAAAAACACACATAGAGTTGTGGTGGGTTAAAAATTAAGGAACGGGTGAGATTCGTTTGTTTCTGACTACCTCTGAGGAGGGCAAAGGGAAGATGTTGCTGTTTCCACAGGGTGGTGCCCAGGTTGGTACGTAGCTGGGTCACACTTTAGGATGCAGAATTAGCAGGCCTCCCCGTGCGGGTACCATCTGGTCCTCATGGCTGCACACAGATCCTCCCTATTTCCAAAGGACAACATGAGAGAAGCAGAGATTTATATAACTGTTCTTGGTTTGTTTCCCTCAACTGACACTACAAAAATAAACACTTGGGAGAGTGGCCATTGGATGGTCTACGCACACATCCCCAGGAGGCAACGCAGCAAGCCTGGAATTGAGCTCTGTGCCTGGCTGATATCACACCAGTCATGGGCAGTTCTTTCTTAACCCTTCTATCCCTGCCCCCATCCCAAGAGCTTGTCCTCTTCTATTGCCAGTAGATTGCTAGGGTGGAAATCCTCCTCAAGGAATCCAAGTCTTTGGGAACCTTTGGTGAAAGGAATTACATGAAAATGCTGGCCAGTGCAAACTGAGAGTAGTTTGCCTTTCTTTGCCTGTTTTTTTTTTTTCCCTCCAGACATCCACAGTCTATTCAGGTTGTTTCAACCAACATGGGATGCTCTGTTCTAGTCACCCAGGGGGTCTTATTAGAGCCTGAGACTGGGAAGTGCCCACTCCAGCACTTCACTGCCCACCCGTGCAGAAGTTTGGACAGAGTGTTGCAAGGGTGAAATCCTGGTAACCAGTGGCAACTTTTCAGGACCAAGAAGAGAGGGAGGCAGAGAAGAAACTGAACTTTGAAAGCCTGGACTGCTATTTCTAAAGACAGGAGAGGAGCTCCAAAACCAGAGCTTTTATGACCAGTCTCTCTAGCCTATCCTTAGCTGTGTGGAAATGATTTTATCCTGATGACTGGACACTTCTGAATGAGCCATTGGGGTGGATGCTAAGGAACCATACTTGTAGTCAACTCAGTGACTTGATTTGCAGGTGGGGTCCCTGGAGCAAGCCATGTTGGACGCCCTAGTTTTGGATAGAGTGGATTTTGTGAAATTACTCATAGAGAATGGAGTAAGCATGCACCGTTTTCTCACCATCTCCAGACTAGAGGAATTGTACAATACGGTAGGGCCAAGACAAGGCGCTTTTTGTGTTCCTCTTGTTTTGTTTTTGGTTTTTGGTTTCACCTTCTCCTGCTTCCCCATCTGCCTGTGATTCTCTTCCCCTCTCCCCCCCTCAGTGCATGGAGATCATTCTTCACAAGTACTCCCTTAGACCTATGTAAATAACCAAGTCACCAAACTCCCGCCTGTTTTAACTGCTCAGTTGTCAAGATCAAAAGCAACCCATTACCTGATCACCTAAGGAGATGATTCTCAGATTGTTTTTTACACAAAGCCAAAAACCTCTGAACAATCAGAACGTTTTTATTCTGCAAACCCAGAGGGTGAGGCATTTACAGAGAATGACCGATTCAACACCAATCCTCCAGGAAGCCATTTGAGTACCCTGTGCTACCCTTCCGCTATGCTCAGAACCATCAGGTTTATCCTTTTCCCAAGCTAATGAGATAAAACGTAAACTATGACTTGTTTAGAATTACCCCACGAGTTTTTGTTCTTTGTTTTCTTTACAGCTGATATCCACTAAGAACTCAAGTGTAAAGAGCTATATAGTTTGTGGCCATTTTACAGATGAGAAAACTGAGTTGTCTTAGTCTACTTGAGCTGCTACAACAGAGTGCCTGAGGCTGGGTAATTTATAAAGAACAGACAAAGATTCCTCATGGTTCTGAAGGCTGGAAGGTCCAGGTCAATGCACCAGCAGATCCGCTGTCTAGTGAGAGCCCAGGCCTCTATCCAAGATGGCGCCTCACTGTTGTGTCCTCTGAGTGGAACAAATGCTGGCAGAAGCGGCCCACGGGCAAATAGGAAGCCTCTTCTGTATTAGCCCTATTCCATTTGCAAGATGGAAGTCCCTGTGACCCAATCACATGGCAATGGCCGCACCATTCAACACCAGTATTAAGTTCAGTATTACTTTCACAGAGGCACAAAACTTCAAACCATAGTGGAGGCTGAGAGATGACTTCTCCAAGGTCTCAACACTCCTAGAGGGGGAGAAAAAGCCAGTACAGAATCTAAGCTTCTATCTGACCCAGCGCCTGTCTGTCCCATTAGGCAAAGCACAGTTAGGGACAGGGATGATTGCCCTGGGCTCCACCAATAGCAGGTGCTGAATGGCGCCCCCCAGCTGCCTTGCCTTTCCACTGCAGGGAGGTGTGAGCTGCAGGGCTTCTGGCTACTGCTTCCTCTGCCAGTTGGGCATGCTGAGACTTACAGTATGAAAGAACTAAGTCAGAGTTGAACAGCTTACCAAGCAGAGCATTCAGGGATCAGAGAGAGGTTCCACGGGCTGACAAGAAAAGAAAGAAGTGAGGATATTCTCAATGGAAAGAGGCCAGTAGATCTCAGCACAGCCATCAGGTGTGGTGGGTACTGGGATAGGACCTGAAGGATTATCGGGTAGTGAGTGCTCCCCGCCAAATAATGATGATCCTCCCATTCGTTGAGGGCTACAAACTATTCTGATATCTGTGTACGTGTTGGGTTGTTTACCTCACTAACCACCCTACCCAAGGAAGTGGTTGTATCTCCACATTAGATACGGTAAAACTGAGTCACAGCTTAAGTTCTGGTTCAGAGGAGGGGGGCAGCAGAATTTGCACAGCACCCTCTGTTGGCTGAACCTTCTGATGCGTGAGCGTGTCACGCGAATGGCAGGTGGTCAAGCTCCAAACTCACCTACCTGTGCACCAACGCATTAGCCGAAGGTTTTGCCATCCTAGTTGGAGATCTGCCTGTCAGCGTGTTAGACTTAGCGAATAAAAATACAGAACAGCCCAGCTGAACTTGAGTTTCATAGAAACAGCGAGGGATTGTTTAGTGTGAGTACAGCCCACCCCACTTCATCCACGGGGAGTTGGGTCCAGGAGTCTCTGCAGAGAGCAAAAACCTCGGATGTTCTTGCATAAAATGGCGTCGTACCCTACTCAGATCTACCTGTGCACTTTAATTCTCATGTCCTAGACGACTTCTAGTACCTAATGAAAGGTCATTTTGTATCAATGGTTGTTATACTGTATTTAGGGAATCAGGAGGAGAAAAAAAAAGCCTGTACATATTCAATAGAGTAACTTTGGGAAGGAGCTCTTTTAAATACAATTTTATGGTTATTATGAGAGTATTGTACAGAGGGTTACCTTTTCATCAGTCAGGTAATGATTACATGTCCTTTTTTTGTTTTTTGACAATGCCACACTCCTTCCTTTGCTTCCCTCTCCAGTTTTTTTTTTTCGGGGGGGGGGGGGGTTAAGACTGAATTCCACTATGCAGTCTGTGCTGGCCTTACCCTTTGATCCTCCTGCCTCAGCCTCCCAAGTGCTGGGATAATTGGCATGCCAGCACCATACCCAGCCTACAACTTTTCCCTACATATTTCCAGTTCACAGTTGGTGCCATCTGCAGACATCTCGTATGAAGATAGGGGACCAAACATAGATTCCAAATGTTACGTGAAACGTATTTATGTTAAATCTATTCATTGTTTATCTGAAATGCAGGTCTCCTGCTTTTACTTTAGAAAGACAACCCAACAGCAACTGATTTTACTTTATTCTCACTTCAAGCACACGTGTGTGCACGTGCACACACACACACACACACACACACACACGCGCGCACACATCCTTTTTACAACTCCCTCTTTTCCCCCAAACAGACCGTTGCTTTGACTTTGAGACAAGTTTCAGCAAACTATTATCCAAAGTCCAAGTCCTGTTTGCTTCCTGCTTCTGTATAGCCTATGAGATAAGAAGGGCTTTTTAAATTTTTAACATCTTTACTGGTTGAAACAATTTTAAAAATGAAGGTATTCTATGAAATTCTAAAATTCTATGATAATCCCAGCACTTGGGAGGCTAAGGTAGGAGAATTGAAAGATCAAGTCTGACCTGGGTTACCGAGGGAGTTCCTATCTCAAAAGTGAGATAAATAGATAGATAGATAGATAGATAGATAGATAGATAGATAGATAGATAGATAGATAGATAGATAGATAGATAGATAGACAGATACATACATACATACATACATACATATATATATATATATATACATACATTCATGGATAGACAATAGATGGATTGATAGATAGATAAGTAATTCAGACAGACTGATTAAATTTGATGTTCTGTATCCATAAAGTCTTTTTGAAATAGTCAAGCTTTGTTAACATAAAATTGTCACTATTTCTTTACTTTTTTTGCCTTGAACTCAGGACCTGGGTGCTGTCCCTTAGCCTCTCTGTGCTCAAGGCTTGTGCTCTACCACTTGAGCAACAGCTCCACTTCTGGCTTTTTCTGAATTGTTTATTTAAGAGTCTCACAGGCTGGGAATGTGGCTCAGTGGTAGAGTGCTTGCCTAGCAGGCATGAAGCCCTGGGTTCAATTCCTCTGTACCACATAAACAGAAAAAGCCAGAAGTGGTGCTGTGGCTCAAGAGGTAGAGCACTAGCCTTAAGCAAAAGAAGCGCAGAGACAGTGCCCAGGCCCTGAGTTCAAGGTCCCGAACTGGCAGGAAAAAATTAAAACCATCTCACAGACTTTCCTGCCCAGGCTGGCTTCAAACCCTGATCCTCAGATCTCAGCTTCCTGAGTAGCTTGGATTACAGGCGTGAGCCACCAGGACCTAGCTGGCTATTTCATTTTTAACAGTACACCTGTTAAATAGATTTAGATTAAAGCTGTTTAGCCCACCGCGTCTAAAATAATTTACTGTCTGTCTTTTTAAAGAAGTTGGCTAACCCCTTTGTGAGATCATTTGTTATTCATTAGGAAAAAAAAACTAAGAAGCCTCAATGATAATGTGCCAAAACATTTTTTCCGATGGGTCAATTGTGTCCCCTCGGTTTTCCTGAATGCAAATTGAGCTGCTTCAGTGTCGGGCCCAGCTCTCCGCAGAGCTGAGAACCTCCCTACAATCTGCGAACCTAGAACCTCCAACACTGTCAGGAGGGAAAACCATCCCAAGTCTGTATTCGTTTAGAAAATGCAGGTACAACTGAGCAACTAGAACAAGGTCCATTGTGACAACCTACCCGTTCCCGCAACCAGCCAGACCTTTCCATCCAGATCCTTCCTCCCTTGCCAGTAAGAGCCTCTGACTAGCAAAACTGTTTGATTCTTCTTTATTGTTTTCAGAGACATGGGCCCTCAAATACATTGTACCACTTGGTCAGGGATGTCAAAAAGGTAAGAACCCTCTGGACCACAGGTCAGAGGCTCTGTCCTGAGGCTGCCTGTGATTAGACAGTATCTCTGCCTTGCATGAGCTGCTACACCCCTCATTGCTGAACAACGTGTGCACCTCTGTCTTGTAACTCTGCTACCTCTGCTTCTGACGTAGCTGGGGCTTTATCTTCAGCTGCCATGGTTTTAGCTGCTTTGGTTGGACATAATGCTTTGGAATAGTGGAGCACGAGGCTCCCCTCTCCTCTCCCTGTGCCATGTGGATTTATGCCATCCCTGGGTTCACCATACTGTTTGAGAGCTACTTTCCACCGTGTGCCCTAGACCATAAGAGAGGCACCTGCATTTGCTAGCTCCTGAGATGACATCACTTCCGGAATGGTACAAAGTATAGGAAGAAAACTCCACAAGTCCCAGAGAAGCAGAGACAAGAAAACAACGTGGCATTCCATTCTTCTAACCCTTTCGTTTTTATTCCCCAGAAGAGATTTTCACATGCATCATCGTTCTTTGGTTTTTAGAAAAGCTAAATTATGCACATGTGGTAGATGAGGAGGCTGAGGACTGTATTTGATGCTTAGTGGTGAGCTAGCATTAGAGCTCAGAATGCTTCATTAATGATAAAAAAAAAAAGTAGTAAAGTAGAAGCTGTGATTTACTGATAATCAGGTGCATAGCATTGATTAATGTAAGCTTCCTATGAGCCTTAACACATTCCATCTTTACAAAACATGTGTGTGTGTGTGTGTGTGTGTGTGTGTGTGTGTGTGTGTGTGTGTGTGTGTGTGTGTGTGTGACAGTCATGGGACTTGATCTTAGGATCTGGGCACTGTCCCTGAGCATTTCTCCTTAAGCCTAGCAGGCTAGCACTCTACACTTGAGCCACAGCTCCATGTCCAGCTATTTTTGGTGATTAAGGATAAGAGTCTCATGGACATTCTTATCTGGGCTGGCTTTGAACCATGATCCTCGGATCTGTCTCCTGAGTAGCTAGGCTTATAGGTGTGAGCGACCATCATCCAACTTAAAAAACTATATTTGAAGTAGAAGTTATTACTTGATTACCATTAATTACTATTCCCATTTAAACAATGAGTAGGAAGGTGATGAGTGAATGAATGAATGAATGAGTAAAAAGGTGATGTTTAATCCCAGCCAAGTGTTCTTTGGCCCCTTAGGCAGTCTGCTTTAGGGCAGCTTGGTTCCTGAACCCTTAGCTCTAAAAAACAAAATAGATAGGAACCCCCCCCCCCCAATACACACACATACATATATTACACCTACCACTACCAACACTTTATAGCAATTAGTCATCCAAGTCTACAGGACATATGTAAAGAAATCTGCAAAACAAGGTCCAAAATAAAGTATAATTCCTTCAACTCATTGGAAGTCATTGGCTCAAGGTCTTAAGAACCTGACACGCAACATTTTAATTATTTTTCCTTCAAAGGTCCTGTGGTTCTTTTTAATGTATCTCTTTTTGATTGCTAGATGGATCTTTCATAATCATGAGACAAGGTATAAAAACCCAAATCCAAAAACCAAAGTCTTCCCCTTTTTTTGGCTCTTTGCACACTTTCCTATGTGAATGAGAGAAGTGGAAAACATTTTTTCAAAGTAAGCAAGAAAAGCAAATGCTCTGCAAGCTATATATTCACCCCAAGGGCCACTTCCCCAAGCTCAGGCTTTCTTTGATCTGCCTCAGTCCAACCACAGCAGTGGGTCTGTCCTCAGCACACACATACCTTCATGCCTTACACCTCCATTTAATTGATCCTGCCCTCAGATTGCCTGGAAACTAAACCCAGAAAATGAAGGGTACACAACCCCCGTAAGTTCTTTGTCAAGCTACTTGCCGCTCGTGTTTTCTAAAATAATAAAATGAGCTTTCTAAAATAAACACCATGAGTCAGGCACCAGTGGCTGGCTCATGCCTGTAATCTTAGCCCCTCAGGAGTGGAGCTCTGAAGAGTGCTGTTCAAAGCCAGCCCTGGCAGACAAATCATAGAGACTCTTATCGCCAACTAACCATCAAAAAGCCAGAAGTGAAGCTGAGGCTCAAGTGCAAGAGTTAGCCTTGAGCACAAAAATCTCAGGGACAGTGTGGAGACCCTGAGTTCAAGCCCTAAGATGAATAATAATGATAATGATTAATAATAAACATGGTGCTATCACCTCACCTTAGATGTGTCGTTGTCTAGTTGATGGCGAGGCCTCGTGAGGAGACAATGCCTTCGGTCCTCAGCCCTGTCTATCCACCACCCCAAGCCCTCTATCAAGGTCTTTGTGACTTCCACCACCCACCCTCCCAGCTGTAAGGTCCGGCCTGCCTTTCAAGTGTTGGGTTTTTGTTGTTGTTGTTGTGTTTTTTGCAATTAGATTTTACTGAGTTTAAATGCTCAAAATCCCTCCCATTGGCTCCTCTTCCCCCATAGGATGCTGCTTTGCTGAAATCCCTGGAGCAGTCCCCCGCGTTGACTCCTCTCCCTTGTGTTATTAGAAGGCATGTACCATACCCTGTAGGCAGCTTCTTTTTCCTCTTTAAAAAGCTTCTTGGCTAAAAATATCCCTCCAAAAAAAAAAAAATACAGACCAACAAGAAAGAACAGGAGGATGAGAACTAGAGAGGAAAGAGCATTGGCTACCAGCAGACTTTTCTTCTTTTAAGTTTGACCCAAATATTGGAGCAAGAAGATAATTATATAAGCATTCATTGGCCTACTAGTTAAGTAACTAGAAAAATGATTGGAAAAAAATCACCCAACTGGCCCACCAAAAGTTGTTGGGTTCTTTTTTAATCCTTTTATAGCTGAGCAAAGAGATTGTCAATGAAATGAGGAGAAGCAACCTATTCCTCCCCCCACACACCCTTGGGAGAAGTAGAGGCAGGAAACGCCCATTCATTATTTCTGTGCAGAGAGTGAGCGTTGAGTTATAGGATGAAACAAAGGGATAGACATGGATGAACGGAGCAGAAAACAAGGCTCTTTGTTTTTGTGTTTCTTAAAGCAAATGAGCTGGGTGCCATTGGCTCACGCCTATAATCCTAGCTACTCAGGAGGCTGAGATCTAAGGATCATGGTTCAAAGCCAGCCCAGGCAGGAAAGTCCATGAGACTCTTATCTCCAATAAACCACCAGAAAACCGGAAGTGGTGCTGTGGCTCAAGTGGTAGAGCGTTAGCCTTGAGCTGAAGAGCTGAGGGACAGCGCCCAGGCCCAGAGTTCGAGCCCCACGATCGACAAAAAAAAGTGAATGAGAGCCAAGCACTGGTGGCACACTCACCTGTAATGCTACCTACTCCAGATGCTGAGATCTGAGGATCATGGTTCAAAGTCAACCTGGAAATAAAGTCCATGAGACTCTTACCTCCAATCAACTAGGACGTGGAGCTGTGGCTCGAGTATAGAGCACCAGCTTTGCAAGAAAAAGCCAAATGAGAGCCTGAAGCCTTGAGTTCAAGCCCTGTACTGGCACCAAAGGGGAAAAACGTGAATGAGAAAGAAACTAACACCAATGAGCAACTTTATTATGTAGTTCTAGAGGACTTCCACCCATTTAACCCACTAAGGAACCCAGAGGTTTTGCAAACTAGGTTTAAAAGGCTAAGCAAACCTTAAGAACTTTAAGCAATATTTGAACTTAGAGAAGACAACAAAACATAACATCCTGGCTTCTTTCCCATTCTAGGGGATATATATATATATATATATATATATATATATATATATATACATATATACATATATATATGTATATATATATATGTATATATATATATTCATACTTAGTCTGTGAAAAAGCTTATTTATAAGCTTAGTCTGTGAAAAACTTAATTTATAACCTGAACACTAAATGAGAAACACAGCTAGAAACGTATTTCTAGACCTTAAACATCATATTTAACCATATGTCTGTACAACTAATGTACATCACCCCTACAAATCCAGGGAACCCCTTTAGGAATGATCAGCTCATTGTCCATTAAACAACACACCATCTGCACATCCAACTATTGTGTAAACCAACAGCACTGAACTTGGAGAATCACTCAAGCCAACATCAAGATCCAAATTATTTATATCAAGAGAGCAGTCTAAGAGCCATGGAGTCAAGAATTGCCATTCAATAATCAGTCAGTAATTTGAGTAGATATGGCCCAATCCAGTTCCAAAAACTGCCCCATGCATAAATCCATTGATTGTTAGTGACGCTCTTGTACTAGACCGAATGGCCCAAGTCCTGTCTGCTTTTCTGTAGACTATAACCTGCCATTTGTAGTAGCTGTCTGCTCAATGTGTGCCTCTCTATGTTTTAAAGTAGTAGTTTCTCTTTCTTTTTTAAATCAAATGTTCTAATACTTTAGTTTGCCTCCACTATCTATCTCTCCCCCACCAACCAAGGGCGGTGTTGGAGTACTCTAGAGAGGTAGTAGTGAAATTATGATCATTTAAAGTGATCAAAACCCAAGCGGCATCTTGGAGAATGCAAGAGAAAAACAGAAATGATAGACGCAGAGACAGGAGGGGGAAGAGAGAGAGAGAGAGAGAGAGGAAGAGAGAGAGAGAGAGAGGAAGAGAGAGAAATAGCTAGCACTTCCGATAAAAAAAAAATTACATTTTGATAAACCCATCTGCTAAATGCATGCAATTTTGCAAAAAAAAAAAATCCTATTTTTAAAAGATTGATTACTGTGTTTTCGGCCTTGCTAATCTACCAGACATGGAAAAATGTTCTTTGTTCCTCCTGAGATTCCACCAAATTAAGGCCTATGGGTGATTGCTCATAACAAATGAATCCACCTTCCCTTATTATGGAGACTGTCCCCAGACGGTCTTTCCTCCCTTTCCCTGGGAAAACCTAAAATCTTGTAGTCATTTTCCATATTTCGCCAGTCAGGAGGGAACAACTTTATTTTAAAAACTTTTTTCACATTTTAAAGGGGGAAAAAAACCCACAAAGCCCCTAAACAGTTGAAATCTGACAGGGATATCCTGAGCAGTCCGTTCTAAAGAGCAGATGTGACATCTGAAGTTGACCAGTTCTTTGGTTAAGATATTTCTAAGCGTAGCATGAAGATGAAGCATAGCCTGGGAACAGGAGATCTCATGTTCAAGTTGCCACAGCACATCTTCCTGTAGACCTGAGCCTCTCGGTCAAAGTCTCTGAGTTATATGACCTGCCACATAGTGTTAAGTCATGTAAGGAGACATTGTCCAGTTTATAAGGGTTTATTAATTACCAAAGTGATGGATAAAGGGTGGGAAAGGGTACTAGGAATAGTGGAGAGAGGGTTGTTACTCAGTCTCAGTTTTGTGACATCCCATTAGAAGAAGCCCCAAGTTAAGGAAGACTCCTCCAGAAGTTCTAGACATTACCTGTTGGTGTGTGAGTTACCATTCAATGAACACGGCCCCATCCCGGATGATACCTTTCCAGTCTCTTGCCTCCCAGCCCCCCCCCCCCAGTTCCACTCACCAAACTCCAGCTAGAAGCTAAATCAACCCATAGAAACTCAAGACAGGAGATCTTGCCCAAATGACCAGGCCGCACAGAAATTAAAAGCAGCTCCCAGGAGCTGATCGTACAACTGCACTTTTCAACACAGATGAAGCCGTAGAAGTAACAAGACCCAAGCCACTTATTTTCAGAGCAAAAACTGAGGTACAGAAAAAGAGAGATCTATTCAGAATCAATGGAAGAGGCCACAGCCCAGCCCCTGTACTATTTGCGCTAGGGAGCTGTGTCTCTGTATACGTGTCCGTGATTTTCCTCTAGCTAGCAATGGCCATCCTAGGAGAAGCCATACAAATGCTTCCTCTGTGGCATCTCGGATCACAGAGAGTCAAAGACACCAGCTCATCTCTCCATCCTGAGCAGGTCCTGACATTCCTGTAGAATCTCCCCAGAACAGCCTTATCCCAATCCTACGTTGTACCCAATTCATTTTATAAAATCTATTTCTGCCCCCACCCCCCAAAAAAGCATCCACTCTTCCTGGTAAGAAATATGCTGATTTCCCTTAACATCTCTGGAAACAGATGGAATCACCTTGGAAGGCAGAGTTCAAACTGGTAAACTTTCCCTTCTCTGATACCATTTCAGAAAGAACATCTGGTTTTCTCCTTATCTTCTGGTCCTATCAAATCCTGGATTCACCTTAGATTGGTGAAACAGAGCAGGCTGTTCAATACTAGTGTGAACATCGCCCTCTTGTGGTCACGCACAATGTAAATTACCTTTTTTTTGACCTTGAAAGCCTTAAAGGGTCATTCAATTTTCTCTAGCTTCAGATCTGACCACCTATATCAATCATTCTGAAATATTCAACCTTTATAAGGAAAGAGTCCTTTAGCTCCCTTAAAAGTGTATATTACTATCAGACCTTGATGAATACAATCATTTGGTTAAAAAAAATGTTTTCTTTGCCCCTTAAATTTTTACTTGAATTTTACTACTACTACTATCACCTACTCAACCAACATAAATATTTCCATTCAGTATTAGTGCTTGGGAAATATCAGTATCTTGTACTTAGAATTCAAATGCAATGTCATGGCTAAGTTTCTCAAAACCAACTACCCGGCTAGCAAACTCACTATTCCCTAGGTTTTACATTTAGGAACACATTACAAGATCAGAAGCAGGCACAAGTTCATAGACTTACATCAATTGCTTTTTCATAGCATCACAATGAGTCATTTGGGGACATTTTTCATATCTGGCATTGGAGCATTAAAAACCATAGATGCCATGGGGCTCAGTCACCTCTTACTGGGAAGCGGCCCTGATTTACTGGATTATATGAAGGACAGACAAAAGCCCAGGCTGGTTCACCACAAGCCCACATTCTTTACCTTGCTCATCTCGCAATGCCAGGGAAAATAACAAAGCTGAGGTGGGTGAGTATTCTTTGAAGTCATCCTTGCTCGAGCCAAGTATGTATGAGATGACTAGCCCAGACATGACCCTTGCGCTAGACTTTTCTACTCTTGAATAGGGTAGCTGGGTCTGTAGGCACCCTGACATGACAGACTGCCCCCAAAGAGTGAAAAGAAGCAGTTTCTGGGGAAAGGCCTTCCAGCTCAGTTCGGTGTTTATAGAAAGGGCACTGACTGAAAAGTTAACTGTCTTAAACCTTTTCTGTCCCCTTTCAAATGCCTTTTGTCATAACTTTTTATAACCAAGTCAGGCAATGGGTCTTTGTCAATAGCCCGAGGACAGTTTCGCTTGCTGACTTGATCGGGTTGATGAAACCATCTCCAAACAAAAGAGATTCTGAAATTCTGAGAAAGTAGAGGAGTGAGGACAGAAGACATTTCTTGCAAAGAACAATTTGGCTAATGCCACCAACCTCCAGTGGGGCTTTGATGGACCAAAGTGGTAGATGGGAGACATTCTATGTCTCACGTGTGAGATCCACCACACGGTCCCATTTTTCCCAGCCTCACATTAGATCCCCAAGCCTGACTTCTGCCCCAGTATGGAAGCCTCAGACCCCAGTGGGAGGAAGTGAGAGCTAATTCATTCCAGGGGTAGTAATTAAGTCTACGGAGCAGTCATGGAACCTCACACATATGAGACAGGCCATCATGCAGCTACACAGCATCGCCACTGAGCTCCACTTACAGGAGTCTAATAAATGTTTCAAATCAAATTTCCAGTGAACCAGAACCAGGTATGACTAAGACACTGTGGCTAGTTCATTCTGTTCCTGAAAACATAATACCAACATGCCCCCAAACCCACACTGCTTTCCAGCCACTGCAATTAACTTCAATTTTACTGGATTACATTCTCCACAGAGAAACAGTCTACACATGCCTACCTTCTCCCAGGCTCTATCTGAGGCATGAGAAATGCAAGGATTTTGAAGAGGAGAATGCCCTAAAACTATAGATTCAATTATAGGATACATGGTTCACCTTGAGCCCCAAATGTTCTAATGAGCACAGTTATCCCTAGGAAGGCTGAATGAGGATGACTACCTTCAGCTCAGCCAAAGAATGAAATGAGTCTATTAGAGATGAGGGATTCCTGTTTCACACTCTGAATGACATCATGTGCAGTGTCATGCCACTGGATGCTTATTTAATAGAGAAGCATTTTACAGTCTTCAGTGAGTATCACAACCACCAAGAAATGCGCTTAAAGCCCAATGAACTAGGCAGAAAATGAGCCAGTCCTCCATACCCTTACCAAACTTCCCAGATTATCCTAATACCCCCTGAGTTGATTTAAAACAAAAAAGAAAGAAAGAAAGGACAAAAGAAACCCACAATAGATTAGGATCCTCTTCTGTGAAGTGGCAGAAATGGTACACGGCCACCTGTGTGGGTCATTCCACAAAAAAAAGGAAAGCAAGATCCTCCTGACTTTCTAGAATCTCCAGATGCAGTGACTAGCCAGGGCCGTGGCTGCCCATGTGTGTACAGAACGCTTTCCCAATGGAGAAGCTAATCCAGATGGTGACAGCTGGGTCACGTTGCTCCTTGCCATTGCTGCACTTCCGGAAGTGCCTCGACCTCTTGCAACACCAGCTCAATCCCAGAGCCAGAGCTAATGAGCAGAAACTGACCTGCTGTTTGCATCTGCACAGGGAAAGCCAGGAGAAGATAGACCATGCTCAAGGCCCTAGGTTTGATCCTTGATGCCTCAATAGATAGGTAGGTAGGTAGATAGATAGATAGATAGATAGATAGATAGATAGATAGATAACACACCATAACTCTAGGTCTGTTTGAAGGAAAAGGGAAAGTTCTTTTGCATCCTAGGAAAATACTCCATTGACCACAAGTCTTCTTCTATCCCTTCCTGCCTCCCTTTAAGCACAAGAGAGATTCATTATACAAGTCCATCATGACAGTATGATGGGGTTCTCTTTTCTGAAAAACATGCTGATTCCTGGGGTTGGGGATTAAAGAAGACCCAAGTGGGAAGTTTCTCAGCTCTGGTAATGGCACTGAACTTCAGGGAGGAGTCTTCCTTTAGTTAGTGGGAGAAAAGTGAATGACCTACAAGAGGGTGGTATCAAGCCTTGGCCAGAGAGAGGGCGGGGCTTAGAAACATCCGGGGGACTTTGTGGCTGGGAATGGTGGCGTGTGCCATGTTGGGCCTTGTGTTTCTGCTACACTGGTTTTTTTTCTCCTCAGCTGAAGACCTGAATAAATATTTTGATTTTCTGTTATTGCCGACGGTTACTTCATCTTCTTATTTAACTTATTCTTCTTTCCAAGCGAGAATATCCAGGTTTCGGTTGGATCTATTTTAAGGTGAATTCATTAACCAGCATAATAATACATTCATGTTTCTTTTTTTTTTTTCATCATATTTTTTTAACTCTAAAATAGTTACAGAACACACCCTGGAGCCTCTAGTAAACCACTCTGTCTTTTGGATGTTTGTTTGTTCCATTCTTCCCCAACAGGGAAACCTGCCCCCAGACTACAGAATCAGCTTGATTGACATAGGCCTGGTGATCGAGTACCTGATGGGTGGGGCTTACCGCTGCAACTACACTCGCAAGCGCTTCCGGACCCTCTACCATAATCTCTTTGGCCCCAAGAGGGTGAGACTCCTCACGTATTATTGGGCTTCTCCTGGGAGGACTAGGGTGTGAGACATTGGGGGATATGTCTTCTTTATCTGGGAAGAGAAGACTACTTGAGAAAGAGGAAACTTCCCCCTTTTTTTTCCTTCATCCAAACCACTAAAATAATAATAATAATAATACTTAAAATTAAATTTGGCAACAAATACGGTCAAGTGCTTTCTTTGAAGGATTTGAATCATTCCACAACTATGTGCCCCATGTCCAAGTCTAAGTAACTGCAATCTGTCGACCAAGCATTCCCTCAAATAAAAGTGATATTCCATGAAAAACCAAGTGGCCATAATTCAATCCCCGAAATGGCATAATTCCCTCTGCTCCAGTCATCAGAAGCTACTTATGAAATAGGAGGTAGGGATATAACGTGATTAGTAAGAATATCCTGAAAGAATGTCCTGTTTGGGGGGTTGTTGGGGTTTTGAGGGAGTATTTTTGTTTGTTTGGGGTTTTTTTTATTTGTTTTTGTTGTTGTTGTTTGGTTTGGATGGGATTTGGGAGGTGATTTTCTTTTTGTTGTTGTTGCTGCTGCTGTTTTGTTTTTGCTGGTCCTGGGGCTTGTACTCTGGGCCTAGACACTGTCTCTAGTCTTTTGTGCTCAAGGCTAGCTTTCTACCACTTGAGTCACAGCTCCACTTCTGGCTTTTTGTGGTTCACTGGAGAAAAGAGTCCCATGGACATTTCCTGCCTGGGCTGGCTTCAAACTGCAGTCCTCAAATCACAGCCTCCTGAGTAGCTAGGGTTACAGGCATAAGCCACTGGTGCACAGCCTTGTTTGTTTTTTGTGTTCTCTGCAAATGCCTCTTAGTGAGACTTAATGAAGTAGTAAAGTTGAGCCTTCCTCTACTCGGGCTAAGGCATCCAACTCCCCAGGGCTCTGAACCACCGAGCTACTGTGGACATGATCATGAGATCTCAGTTACACCATACTGTCCTTAGTACTATGAGTGTGAACTTTACTCACTCTCCAAAGTGTCTCTCAGGGAACTTCAGGGATTCATGGATGACCTACTGAGAACTGCTGTCCTTGCTGCTGGGGGACATGATTTCTTTTTTTCTTTTCTTTTTCTTCTTTCTTAAAAAAACATTTTAACACTATTTTTATGTTTTTCAGTTTTCTTTTTTTATATCTTGTTGACTTTTATTTTTAACAAAGTTGTGTGTGTGTGTGTGTGTGTGTGTGTGTGTGAAAATATTTTTTTTAGAACAAGTAGAGACATTTGGAAACACCAAAAGGTGTAACTGTGAGGGAAAGAAATCCACAGAGCTTTAGGCGGTGCCTATTTTAAAAGCTGAAACAGAAAAGATAACAAGGGAGGTCATAAAATTTTGAGAAACTAGTGGGGTCCTGGTGGCTCACACCTGTAATTCCTAGCTACTCAGGAGGCTGAGACCTGAGAATCGTGGTTCAAAGCCAACCCAGGCAGGAAAGTCCATGAGACTCTTACCTCCAATGAACCACCAGAAAACCAGAAGTGGAGCTGTGGCTTAAAGTGACAGCTCAAGCGCAAAAGCTCAAGGACAATGCCCAGGCCCTGAGTTCAAGCCCACAACTACCACCACCACCACCAACAACAACAACAAAATGTGAGGAACTATGCTTGCTGTAACCTTATTATTTAAGATGTCATCTAATCACTGTATAAAACTTAGAAGCACAGAATTCGTGCTCCCGAGCCCTTAGATGGAATTCTTTGTCTCCCTTGCTAAACAGAAATGGAACTCTGTAAGTTACTGCGTTGCTTTATATAGTGTGTCTATATATTATAGGTTCCCAGTACGGCCAGTGCCACTGCCTGGTGTCTAACATTTCCTGTGCCACTGGGCACTTTGAGCCACCCTCTGCACCTGCCCTCTGGCCACTCCCCCTTGGCCAATAGGAAGCATCTAAACATACATTCTGAACAGTACTCCAAGTTTCCAGAGTGGTTTGTCAGAAATATCTCATTGGGTCTGTTTGTATGTTTTTTTGCTTATCAGTCTTAGTGTGCTCAAGCTGCTATAACCACAGACTATAAGCAACATGAATCTACTCACAGCTCCCAAGGGCCCTGTGATAAGGAAATAATCTTTACTCTTGACCCAATAACTTCCTAATGCCAATCCTAATACCATTGCTCAGGAGTAAAGAGTTCCCTGTGTGACTGTAAGGAGGGGAACAATCAGACCACAGCATTTATTCAAACACTGGATGTAATGGAGCTCTCTGCCAAGCTTGATGATTATTAAGTGGTAAAAGAAATCTTAGTCCACAAAATAAACATTATAAACCTTCAGGCTCCCCCTTTGGGCAATCCCATTATATTTCTCCGTTTTCTTAAAGTAATATGGCTTACCAAAAATCACAGAAATCCTGATGAGTCTCCAAAATTTCTATAATAGGTTCTTCTTGTGGGTATTTTAGTCAGTGAACTAAAATTAGTGCTACGTGGTACAATGGAGTTCTTATATTACTTCTTTACAATATCTTAGAGTTCTTTTCTTACTTTGATGAAAGAAAGATCTAACTTTATTCACATTTTTTTAACAGCCTAAAGCCTTGAAACTGCTGGGAATGGAAGTAAGTGTTTGCTCAAAGTATTAGTGTCAATTATTCACTTTATTGCACATTTAAAAATAGAAGCCAGAAAGAAAAAAAAAACAATGAACCAGGCACAGTGGCTCTTGCCTGTAATCCTAGCTACTTTCGGGAGACTGAGATCAGGGAAATCCTGGTTTGAGGCCAGACGAGGTAAAACTCTTCACAAGACCCCATCTCAACCAATAAAACCTAGGAGGGTGGCATGGGCCCAACATCCAAGCCATGCAGGAAACATAAATAGAAGGAGGGCAGTCAGGTTGGCTCAGGCATAACTACACGGTCCTACTTAAAAAAGAAAAACAACATGAAGCAAAAAGGATCAAGGTGTATGTTTCAAGTGGTAGAACTCCTGGTGAGTTAAGAACAAGGCCCTGAGTTCAAACTCCAGTACTTCCCCTCCCCCAAGAAATGACTTCATTTCCATTGGAAAGCTTATTATATGATTCTACTATAAAAGAATAAATAAAGCTTTTTCCAAGGGTCATCAGTAGCTTTGACATTTCCATCAGGAAGCTCTGCTAGCATTGCCAACATACTAAAATAAATAAGTCCTATTTGAAATATGAACTTGAAAACCAAGCATAGAAATTCCAGTAGGCCAAATCTACTCATGGGTGTTTACAATGGCGGCGGATTCAAAGGCTAGACCTACTTCACTGCTAGGTATGCACAGACTTGAGACAGATTACGTTTCAAATGGCACTTGTCATACATGCAAACATAAAATAGAGAATATCCTTGGACCCTGCAGCAAAAGGGTAGCACTGTCCATCAGCAGCCCTACCTACAAGGAGTTAAAAGATAGACAAAGATAAGAGATAGATGAAAGATAAAAGATAAACAAAGTAAACAAACAGAAAAGCCCCAAATAGCATGATATATATAATATATATTATATATGTGTATATATACATATATACACACATATATAATATATAATATACATATATATATATATATATTGATTCTTTTTGAGACAGGGTCTTGCTTGATAGTCCAGGCTGGCCTCAAACTCACCAACCTCTTGTATCTGTCCCCATCTTTCAATGCTGGGATTACATGTAGTCACTACACCTGGCTTAAAAACTATGAATACTTTTTAACTAAAGTATACACTGACATGTGCCCGTAGGATTATGTGTGTGCATCTGCCTTATTTTAAAAGTAGCCGTAGCTGCGCTTGTGAGTTCTTGGAGAATAGCAGCGGCTCTGGTTTATTTCAGTGTTGCTCCAAGAAGTGAACCAGTGGAAGAAATGCAATACATAGGAATTCACTGATGTGATTTCGTTTGCAACTCAGCCTGGGTGTGTTTCTCTGAACCTGCAGGACGATATTCCCTTGAGACGAGGCCGGAAGACCACCAAGAAGCGTGAAGAGGAGGTGGACATCGATTTGGATGACCCAGAGATCAACCACTTCCCTTTCCCTTTCCACGAGCTGATGGTGTGGGCAGTCCTCATGAAGAGGCAGAAGATGGCCCTGTTCTTCTGGCAGCATGGTGAGGAGGCCATGGCCAAGGCCCTGGTGGCCTGCAAACTCTGCAAAGCCATGGCTCACGAGGCCTCCGAGAATGACATGGTGGATGACATTTCCCAGGAGCTGAACCACAACTCCAGGTTGGCTAACCCCAGGAAATGGGTTGATCATGCTGGGGGTGGGGGAATGGGAGAGGCCACAAAAGTTTAAGGGGACACAATACCACCCCAACAGTGCACCCAGACTCTGGACGTGGTTAACCATGATGGTGCACAGTGCTATGTAGACATGTACCCTGAGAGCAAGGACTTATGGTCATGTACTTTGTTCGATGAGGCTCTGAGAATTTAAGTAATTTGAGGGAGCATACATGCTCATGGATTAGGCTGCCTAGATCATCCGTATGCCTCGAATTTGGAGTCAGGAATCCAGAGATGATGCCCTGTTTGACTCCCATCTGAGTTCCCTCAACATAGGATCTGACACACAGTGGACGTGGGATGGATGGATTTACGAGTATAGAGTAGACCTCAGATGAAAACAACCACACACACAGTAACTACCTTTTGTCAGTTGGTCAGTGTCATGGAAGTCTCTGCATTGGTCTGAGGCCTCCTGTACATATGCTCTCTTTCAGAGACTTTGGCCAGCTGGCTGTGGAACTCTTGGACCAGTCCTATAAGCAGGATGAGCAGTTGGCCATGAAACTACTGACGTATGAGTTGAAGAACTGGAGCAATGCCACGTGCCTGCAGCTGGCTGTGGCTGCCAAGCACCGAGACTTCATTGCACACACGTGCAGCCAGATGTTACTCACCGACATGTGGATGGGCCGGCTCCGCATGCGCAAGAACTCAGGCCTCAAGGTCAGCCTGCCCAAGAAGGCCCTGTGACAGTCTAAGGGTGGATTAGAGTTTCACATACAAACCTGCAGGGGTATGAGGGGCTCTTTAATCTCAGGAAGATGATGCTTAATCACAGACGTTCATCATGACCTTTTTTCGTAGTATTCTTATTTTTATATAGCGGCTAGGACATTACCCCATCCCAAATCTCTAACGATAGTGCTTACTATTAAGATCACCTCAACGGGTCCAAAAATGAAGGTCATATATGGGTGCCATAGGTCCTTGTGCCAATTGCCTGAGGATTCTCACTCAGGTCACAGTTCACCATGGAGGGACCTGACCTCTGTCATGATGTGCTAACATCACGTCGTAGATATGTTATGAGACCTTGGCTCTGATCAGATGATGTGGTGGAAGGAAACGTTAAACTTTCTCATAAAGTAAAACTGAGGTGGATTTGTATGTCAAGACTTGGCTACACAATCCCTGTCTAGTCTCTTTCTCTTCTCACGGTGTAGGGAAATCAAAGCCCACATTTGCCCTTGATCCATAGCCTGAGCTTCCAGTCTTCTCTCTTAACACATTTTCCAGTTTGCAATGTGATGGTGCACCTGTAATCCTCCTCTTGTTTATCAGATGTCCAAACTTACTCTTCCTATGCGTCTGTAACTTTTGCCACAGCTGTATTGAACACGCCCTCTTCTCCTCCATCCTCCCCCGGGCTTCTCCCAGTCCCCAGTCACAGAAGTGTTCTATAAAGTGGGTCATGGACAACATTCCACCCACACACTGGTAGTAACTGCCAATCCTGGCTTCAAGCAGGGAGCCAAGACAGCGCTTAGCTCCCAGAACAGGGTGTCATGTCCCCAGAAGCTGCCAGCACGTCATCTGAGCCTCCTTAGACCTGCCAGAATTCAGGGTCATTGCTGTCCCTTGGCCCTGACTGCTCTAGGGTCCCCATGAGCATTTTGAGTCCTGTCTCACGACTTGAGCATCATATATCCTCTTCCCCCTTACCCCCCAAAAAATGTTTGTACTTCCTTATATTCATTTTGATAAATAGTATACTGGTTGCTACACCTTTGGATTCCTCCCAAGTCTACCATCCTTTGGTCAGTTTGTTTGTCTGTGCATATTTGAATTTTAGATCTAGTTTCCACATATGAAAGCAAGCAAGCCCCATTAGTGTTTCTGAGCCTGAATTACTTCACTTTTGAGCATCATTTGTGTGTGTGTGTGTGTGTGTGTGTGTGTGTGTGTGTGCTGGTCCTGGGGCTTGAACTCAGGGCCTGAGCTGAGCTGTCCCTGAATTTTTTGCTCAGGGTTAGCATGCTACCATTTGAGCCATAGCTCCACTTCCAGGTTTCATGGTAGTTCATTGGAGGTCAGTCTCATCAACATTCCTTCCAGGGTTGGCTTCAAACCACAATCCTCTGGTCTCAGCCTCCTGAGTAGCTAGGATTACAGGCATGCACACCACCAGCACCTGGCTCTTGTGTACCATTTTTTATTGATCCTTCAATATCCTTCTAAGCCCCTTGCCTGGGTGCAGTGTGTCCAGGGAGGCTCATCTTCACCAGGAACATGTTAGGATGGAGAGAAGTGGGAGGAGTCAACGGAACACAAGTCAGACATTGCTCTTCCCACTCAGAAACACACCTGTTCCCCGACAATGGAGAAGATTTGCTGGTTCTCCTCGCATGCAGATGCTCAGATGCACATGTGTTCACAGTAGAGGGAAATGTTGTACTGCCTCTCCTGGGATTTCAGAGCAAGGATGAATGCAGAGCTGGTCGGGGGTGAGGTTCTGTGGTACCATCTCAGATGTTGGCCAAATGCTCTACAATAAAGGATATGCTTTCCTACGTGTATTAGTTTTGAACAACTGACAACAATTCTTTACTTGTGTTTTCAAATGACCTTTAAATAGCTGCATAAAGGCATTTCAGTTCCACTTAGCAGTTGATGAGGACAGCGCATCTTGATCCATACCGCCCTTTCCATCCTTCTCCCCCATCTCCAACCCCACCATCCCCTCACGTTACCTGGTTCCATTTTTACCTAGAACAACTTTAATTCACAGAGATAATCGGGCACCACGTCAGCTATACTGGACACACTAGCAAACACACTAACCAGTGGACATATGTATGACCCGATTTTTATAAAGCCAAGTGCTGTTGAAGGGCTAAATGGTAATGGTGAATCTTTCCCATTTTGGTTTTGAATAACATCTTCTCCCCCCCACTTAGTTTCTCTCATACAAATGGGTGTTAGAAGGATACGATGTATTTGAGTGAAATAAGTAGTTGTCTGACAGGACAAAGTAACCCTCTTCACATAAATGTGTTTATTCAGATACCCGGGTCCCCACCCAGGGTGTGTAACACCTGCGTACACCCACATACATGCACACATAGACACCAGAGGCCCTCTGATTCTAAGCAACCATCCTAATCTTTATCCTTTAAATGTGATTATTATTATTATCATTATTATTACTTTAGGTAATTCTGGGAATTCTACTTCCTCCTTCAATTCTCAGCTTGGAGTTCAAGAACAAAGATGACATGCCTTATATGACTCAGGCCCAAGAGATCCACCTCCAGGAGAAGGAACCAGAAGAACCAGAGAAGCCCACCAAGGAAAAAGAAGAAGAAGACATGGAACTGACAGTAAGCAAAGACTGTTCTGTTGTTTTCCCTGGGCAGACTTCCCAACTCACTCTTCCTGTTGACAGGGCTTAGTAAGTCTTGAGGTCAGACCGCTGTCGGAACAGTTTCCCAGCGGGTTTAATCATGTGGGTTCTTGTACCTTCTGGGAGAAGTGTGTCAGCAGAGAACAGTCCTGTGTATGCGCACACACACACACACACACACACACACACACACACACACACACACACGTACAAAACAAAATGGGCCCAATTATCTGTGAAACCCTTCAGCTAGTCAGTGGTACAGACAAGCCAATGGAATCCAAAGCAATGGCTCCTAAATTTTCCAGGCAGGCCAACTAGCTGATAGGGCAGCCTTCGCACAAGAGAAGGAAAAGGAGATCCACGATCTGAGAAAAGCAGTCGGCTTTTCTGCCCTGGAACTGTTTTGCTGGTCAGAAGCTCTGCTTGCATCTGTCTTCGGGGTCACGCTCACAAAAACAGGGCACTAATTGAATTTTTGAGGTCTGTGTGGGAAGCTTTTATTAGCTTTTCCTGGGGTAATTATAGAACATGGGTGCTTTGTTCTGCAGAAGGAAGGGGACAGCTGCTCGTCGATCGGACAGCTTCCCACAATCCCCAGCCTAAGCAGCGTGACTGCCACTGGCTGATGTCCAAAGGCTAAATATATCCCGTACTACCAAAGGGACAAACAAGCCTTCCTATCTTGGGAGATATCAAGCGGCAGCTTCCTAAGGACTGTCTGCTGCGCATTGCCCTCTCCACCGCCCTGGTCAGTGGCCACAGTAGTAATGTCCCAGAAGGAGCTGGGAGAGGAGAAAATGAAAATTGGTTTTTGCTCAGGTGACAAAGGCCTTTGCCTTGATTCGCCTGGTGAGACCAACCTGGGAATTATTCTTCCTCCAGGTACAAAATAATGCCTTTCTAGCCGGCCATCCCTACAGGTTGATTTACAGACACAACCCTTGAGTCAAGGGGGGAAAGGCCAAGTTTTGTTTCAGTTTCTGATCTTTTATAGAAATCTGTTACAGGCCCCTGATCACTTCTCCGTTAACATCAGGAACTTCCTTTCCTAAAGATTTTTGCCATCATTGTGGCCTCTGAACCCCTTCTTAGAGGAGAAAGAATATTTTAAGTATGGGTAGAAATGTAGGTTCCAATAATACTGAATCTTTATTGAGTATTGCAGCACAAGAGTAGAGGGTGAGCTTTGGAGTCAGCAATTCTCTGCCAATTACCCGATCGCTGCCTGACCTTGAGCACGATTTCATATCCTCTAGAGTAGGAATAATAATTTTGTCTGCCTCACCAGCGATTGTGCTCTTTTTGTTGTTATTATTTGTGTGTGTACGTGTGTGTGTGTGTGTGTGTGTGTATGTGTGTGTGTGTGTGTGAGTGAGTGTTAGTACTAAGCCTTGAACTCAGGGCCTAGGTGCTGACCCTTAGCTTTTCTGCTCAAGACTAGTGCTCTACCAATTGAGCCATAGCTCTGTTCTACTTCTGACTTGTTGGTGATTCATTGGACATATGAGTCACATGGCTCTCCTGCCCAAGCTGGCTTCAAACTTTGATCTTCAGATCTCAGCCTCCTGAGAGGACTATAGGCATGAGTCCAACAGTTGGTTGAGTTTTTTTTTTTTTGGGTCCGTTCATGGGGCCTGAACTCTGGGTCTGGGTGCTATCCCTCAGCTCTTCAGCTCAAGGCTAGCACTCTACCACTTGAGCCACAGCACCACTTCCAGCTTTTTAAAAATTTTTGTTTATATGGTGCTGAGGAATCGAACCCAGGGCCTCATGCATGCGAGGCAAGCGCTCTACCACTGAGCCATCTTCCCAGCCCCAGTTGGTTGGGTTTTAAAGTGCACATGTAAACCACCAAGACCGAAATGGTCACACACTGATAAATATTCACTAATAGTTTTTAGACTTGCTCATAGAACCCTCATACTGGATACAAGAGGAAGGCAGTATTATTATCAGCATTTAACACACAAGGAAGTTGGAACTGAAAGATTAAACTGTCCAGTTTTACTCAGATTATTGGTGAAGCTGTGAGTAGGCATACAGATTTCCATTGGCAACTCTGTTAGCCAATAGTTAATAGACTGAGAGAATGTCTTCTCATCATGCATGGAAATGTGCAGCAAGTTTGGCTTATGACCTTGTCTTTTAAAAAAAAACCCAAATGATTCTCAATCCTCTTAGGTCAAGTATGGCGTGGCCTTAGCATTTGGACATACATCCTAGGAAGGCAGCCAGGAGCTGAATCTGAGTTCTCCATGGTTCTCTAGAGCTCTGTAGTTCTGACCTTTCAAGAAACCACAAGAAAAGATCTCTCTCTAGTCCAAGAACCAAGGTTCTTGTCAAAGAATGGAGCTGGCCCTGTTCTCTGCGAACTTAAGTAGGGACGGGACAATGACAGAATGGCCTGAACTTATTCTATCCAGGCAGAGACTACAAAAAGGAGAGGAAGGAAGGGACTTGTGGTGTGGACTGAAGGCTCAGGGTAGGACAGTGATTGTCTTGAAAGAAGAGCTTGCTGACCCTGGAGAATTCTATCCTTGCCTGGGCTCTAGTTGGTAGCTAACCCAGACAGAATTGGTGAGAGCAGTGTGTTGACACCTCGTTCCCTTCATAGGATTGATACTTGATCTGATCCTCTCTTGGAATCGGACATCCTTTGGCCCTTCCAAAAATATCAGCCTCCGCTTGCTTCATCTCTATAGCCCCGAGAAGCTTAGCTTACCTCAAAGGATCTTTCTCCACTCTGACATCTGTGTCAAAGGTTTTCAAGTCCAGACTGTGACATTCAATTTCTGCTGTAAGTCATGTCAAAAGGAGTATTTGACAATGGGGAAAAGAAATCAACAAATTCAGCAAATTTGGTTACTAAGGCTAGACTTAATATAATACAAAAGAGCTTTACTAAAGCCCAGGAAAGATGGGCATTTTATAATGCATCTACTTCAGAATGGAGGTGAATAATAAAGAAAACACAAGCTTTAATGATGTATTCACATTTTGTCCATATGGCCAAGTAAGTGCAAAGTTCCACTGTGCACTCTATTGAATAAAGTCCCAACATGCTTAGCACCTCATAGCAGCTTACGGCTCTGCTATCAGTTTATAGCCACTGTCCCGAGAGGTTACCCCAAGGTGTGACCCTGAAGATGCTTAAAAATTTCCAATCTGAGCTGGGCACCAGTGGCCTGCACCTGTAATCCTAGCTAATCAGGAAGCTGAGATCTAAGGATGGTGGTTCTAAGCCAGCCTGGACAGGAAAAGCCACCAGAAGTGGTGCTGTGGTTCAAAGTGCTAGAGCGTTAGCCTTGAGTGGACAAAGCTCAGGGACAGCGCCCAAGACCCCAGTTCAAGCTCCCGAGTTCAAGCTCCATAACTGAAAAACAAAAGCAAAGACAAAAACAACAAATATCTCCCACCTAACTTTCCAGTTATCTCATTCTATCTCCAAATGGATCACCTAGCAAGCATAGGAATAGAAAGTAGTACAATTATCTTATATAAATGTGTAAATTCTAAAAGGAAAAGTATAATGTATCTTGAGGTCAGTGATTCAAGATTATAGCATCCTATTTGGGCCTATTACACTATGTCTTCATGAAAATTGGCTCTGCTTAGTGATAAATAAATGAGTTTAGATAAGCCTGAGAGTATAATCTGATCTATTCTTGAACTGAAGGTAATTTTCTAGCCAGTGTCTCCAAAGAAATACAAGCTGCTTTTTCAAAAAGTAAAAACACTTAATGATGAAAGATAAGTCATTTGTGATGGTCAGATATTTGAATGAAGTTGTTCAAATCACCTCACTTCCTATTTGAAGTGGTCGTTATTTGAGGCAATGATTGAAGTCATTGGAAGTAATATTTGTATATTTTGGATAGGATGGTTTGAAAATGGAATCATGTACTACTGCTGATCTCTGTCCTCATCTTTAGTACAAACTTAAATTAATTAGATCCATCAGCTCGAGCATTCTATCCCCAATCCTTGTCAGCCCTAATAAGCTACAATGTCTTACCCTGTTTTTCACATTTAATAAAAATCTCATTTTTCGTCATTGTGGAACTAACCTGATCTTGGCACAATACCAAAGAATCAGAAGCCAAGTCCATTATCAATAATAGCAATGCGTCTTTTGTCTTTGGTGGAAGATCCTACCTGGGTTATTGAAGCTGGTCTGAGATTACTTTGAAGATGAGTTAAGTGAGAAGCTATTAAGTGATTTGCAAACAAACTCTATGGCAGAAGCTCTTATTAGTTCTGTTTTACTGATAAAGACAGTCTCAGACATGTTAAAACAACTTTCCCAAGGAGTCATCTATTCTCCTTTGGATGGACTAGCCTGGAATTCTTCATCATTAGAATCTTCAGCCATCTCTGGGGTATTCTGTCACCTGCTGTCCCAATAATGTGTCTGCCCAGGTTCTTTATCTATTCTTTTCTTTGCAATATTAAATTATTATTCTAGATGTCACAGAGAAGTTGTGGAGAAGGGCATAAGTCCATTCTTTTGTTCATTTTTGTTTTGTTTCTTTTTTTTTTTATTTTAATTTAATTTTATTTGTGAACATACTGTACAGAGGAGTTACAGTTACATGGGCAGGATAATGCGTACATTTCTTACCAAGCATTGCAGCCTCCTCCTTTGTTTACCCTTCACATCCCTTCCCAGCCTCCCCCCTCCCCCCCCAATCCCAATCCTTCTCCTTCCTCCCCCCCCCCACCCCCCCCCCTCCAACGTTGTAAAGTTCGTTTTGGACATGACAACTTGTACTTCTCATTGTTGCAACAGGTCCACCTGTATCCTTAAACAACTGGTTTTTCCCCATCTCCTTGGAAAAAATTATATTAAGTGAAGTAAGCCAGGCCCAAAGAAACGTAGGTCCCATGGTTTCCCTTATTTGTAATATCTAGTATATGTATGAGTCAAGCGGAAAAGGTCAGATAATGTGATGTCAGGAAAATGAACCCTTAGATGTGTATTTTAATATTGTTTTGTTTCTTGAGATAGAGTTCTCCCTAGGTAGCTCAGACTGGCTCGGAATTCATGGTTCAACCTCTCAAGTGCTGATATTATAGGCCTACACTACCATGCCTGGCAGTAGTTGCATCCTTAAGAAGATCTCCAGCACCTTGGAGACAAGGACCTCGGCAGGTTAAGCCTGTCAACTGGTCTTAGGTCCTATGAACTCTTGGGGTCCACGAGCAGCCTTTCTTCGTCTGTAAAATGGGCGCAGAGTCCTGATTCCATGGTATCGGTTCTCTCCCATTATAGGCAATGTTGGGACGAAACAGTGGGGAATCATCCAGGAAGAAAGATGAAGAAGAAGTTCAGAGCCGGCACCGGTTAATCCCCCTGGGCAGAAAAATCTATGAGTTCTACAACGCACCCATCGTCAAGTTCTGGTTCTACACTGTAAGCGTCTTTCTCCCCTCTTTCCTAAGTGACAGCTATAGGGGCCAACAGCCACTGCGCATGCACCTGTGAGGGTTTCTCTGCAATCTAGGTATCACATCAAGGCCCCATGACCTTGCTTTCCCAACCGCTTTACAAGATTGTCTCTGGACTTTGTTAGGCAGCTCTCACGGGCTACCTTTCTCCTCTTTAGAGAAAACGAAAGCCATGGTACATGTGAGAATGAATAGATATAGACGTGAGAGGAGTATGAATGTAGTCTAGCAGGAAAACAGATGTCCGTCTACAGCATGGTTTCCTGTTCTGGACAGGTCAGATGCATAGTTTAACTGTGACTCTGGGCTTGGGCCAGGATTACGCAGAGTGTAGAAGTCGCACCAGCACAAAACAGCAGCATACGTGTGCAATTCCTCCCAACCTGATAGTTCCATCAGACACATTTTTCTTACTCAGACACATGGAATGACATCCATCTCCAAGCAATAGCTCCTCACAGCACCCTATAATCCTGGCAAGAACTTGTTCAGTGTGTGCACTCTACAAACGCTTCCTGCCTACAAATCCAGGGGCTGAATTGGCCTTTGATGTGGGAGAAAGGGCTGGACTGCTGGCTTTCCATTTCTCCCTTGCAATGACTCTTTACCTTTAAGGTAAACCCTGGTCCAGGACATGTCTGATTCTCTCCAACCAGTGGAACTGGATCAGATGAAGGCTAGTACAATTAGCAGTCATTGGAATCAGCGATAGGACAACCTAGCTCTGACCCCAAGATGATTTAGGTGACTATAGGAGGTACTTTTTGGTATGGTTAACGCTGAGCTCTGGCTTGAAATCAGGGCTTCACAATCCAGCACTATTGATGTTTTAGGCAGGTAACTTCTTTTTTGGTAGGGTGTTTAGCAGATGCCTATAGTACTCACCAGCCTCTAAGGATGACAATCAGCACATCTCTAGATGTTACCACTAATTCCCCGGTGGGAGAAAATTGCCACCAATTGAAAACAATTTAAAGGAGGAGCTCTTTTTTTTTCTTTAAAAGATAGTCTTCAAAAAGATCACTAAGATGTAAATTTTACATTTAGTTTCATTGAAAGTAAAATTTTCAAATGTATTAATGTTGTTTTTTGAAGTCGGCAAAGGTCATCGCTAGTTCTGCATGTTCTTCAACTCTACATCACTTTTATTCTGTAGAAAACAGCACAGTGATAGACAGCAAGGGGTCTTCAGAGAGACGGAAAGGCGGGAAGGCCATTCATGCGACTTGTGGCATTTTGTCCAGCCTCTCCTTAAGATGGTACAATGTCAGTAGTTGCTCTGTAGGTTCTCATGAATATTCAATATGCAAAGTGTGCGTTGTAACTATGTAACTATGCTTATTCCTCGATCACGTTGCCTAAAGATAGGTAATCGGTGTTGTATTTTATCTATCCTTCACAAAGATAAAAGTGTCATTTATTGAGCACCTACAGTGTTTGAGGTTCTTTCTCCTTCTTCTTGCTCCTCTTCCTCCTCCTTCTCCCCCTACTCCTCCCCATCTTCTTTTCCCTCCTCTTCTTCCTCCTCTTCCTCCTGCTCTTCCTCTCCTCTTCCTCTTCTTCTTCCTCTTCTTTTCCTCCTCCTCCTCTTCCTCTTTCTCTTCCTCCTCTCCTCCTCTTTGTTCTTCCTTTCTTCCCCTTCTTTTACTTTCAGCTTCTGATGTTGTGTTTGTTTGAAACAGGATCTCACTATTGTAGCCCAGTCTAACCTCAAACTTGCAATCCTCCTGTCTCAGGCTCCTGAGAGCTGGTATAATAGTTGTACACTACCATACCTAGTTCCAGAGGCTTTCTAAATGTAGTGTGTATTGTCATTTTTTCATCCATATCTGTCCTTCCTCTTACATTATGCTGACTACCCCTAGGTCAGAATTTGGCAAAGAATGATCTGCAGTCCAAATCCATGCCGGCTGTTGTGGTCTGCAAGCTCACAATCCTTTTTGATGTTTTTATTATTTACTTTTCAGTGCTGACAATAGAACCCAAGGCTGGGTCGCATGCTAGGCAACTACTCTACCGCTGAACTATATTCCCAGCGTCTATCTTTCACATTCCAAAATAAATAGGTCCAAAGCACTATTGTGTGAGACCTAAAATGTATGTGGAATTCAAATTCCAGTGTTTATACATAAAGACCTATTGGAACATAGACAAACTCACTCTACCCATAGCCTGGCTGCTCTGGTGCTAATGATCAAGTTGGCTACTGGCCTGAAAAGGTTTACAGGCTAACCCTCTGGAGCTTTGCAGAAGAAAATGGCAGATGCAGAAATGAAAAAAAAACAAGTCCCTACAGGTAACTGTGCCAAGGATCTGATATGAACAGAGTCCTCTCCTTCACTCATTCTTCCAAGCCATCTGGTTTCCTTTCTCATCCATGTTCGGTATTACAGCAACTTAGTTCCTTGATTCGGTTGGTGCGCATTTACCCACCTACAGTTGTCATCCACAAGGACTTTGACGGCAGACTGCCCAGGCCATTGCTTCTCAGCCTTGGTTCCACAATAGACTCACCTGGAGCAGTGGAAATGATCGCGTCTTTGTTTGCCCATTGTTCTCCCTGCATAGCCGAGGCTGGCCTTGTGCAACAATCCTGCGACCTTGGCCTCATATCTGCTGAGATTCCAAGCACCCATCACCACATCCAGCCTCTGAAACACTGTTAAGAAACAAAAACAAAACCGGGACACCTGGACTGCATGCCCAGGGGCTTTGAGGTCACTGGACTGGCAGAGCCTGGGCATCAGGATCTTTCAGAACACCCCTGCGTGATTTTCATGAGCATCTAGGCTTAGAACCATTGCCCCAGGCCTGAAATTAGAGTTCTAAAACCCCCCTGAGGTGGGGTGGGGGAGTTGTGTTAGGGTTACGTGTGGAGACTTCTGTGGTAGGGGAGAGGGCTGTAGAGAGAGAATGAGAGAATAGCAGGGGGTAAAGTGGGGAAGGAGAGAAGCAACCAGGAAGAGGTGGGATTTCAAGGCAGATAGAGACAGAATACGGGAATATACTGGAGAGTTTTTCACTGCAGGATTCCTGCCTGTATAGTTTGCTAAACAGCACTCATGGGGGCTGCAGAGAATTGCCAGTGTGATGTGATGGGAAACGAAAGCATGTGAGCCAAACGACATTTTGAACTAATTTTTTAAGCAGTAACCCACCTGACTGTAAGAAAACCTTCCTGAGAGGTTGTTTTGATTTGTTAATGATACTGAAGAGGAAGAGGGAAGGGAACTTCTAGGCATGGATTAACCAGACCGTCCTGGGGTGGGGGTGAAGCAGCGTGCGCTCAGCTGAGCCTCAGCAGCTGCATAATTTACTCTCTGTCCTCTTTTGCCCTCTGTTTTTGCATGTGATGTCATTTAACTCCAACACAGTTGCAACTTTCAAGAGAAGAGAGAAGGAAGGGGATGTAACTCAGTGGTAGAGCACTTGCCTAGCATGTATGAGGCCTTGGGCTCAATTCCCAAGCACAAAGAAGAAGTGGAGAGAAGTGGAAGAATTAAGTACCATAGTTTTGTCTGCAAGGATGCTGTCAATATCATACAGCATCCAAGACACCCTTTGACTGATATTAAAAATCTAACTAGACGCTGTGAGCGTATGCCTGTAATCCTAGCTACTCAGGAGGCTGAGATCTGAGGCTCTGGGAGTGGATCTGTGGCTTGAATGGTAGAATGCTAGCCTTGAGTGCAAAAGCTTAGGACAGAACCCTGAGATCAAGCCCCAGGACCAAAAATAAAAACAGAAAAAATATATAAATAAAAAGCGGGGAGAGGGAGGTGCTAAAGCAGCATCGATGCAGTTCCCTCTGTACCTGACAGCCCGGCCGAAGCTTCTTTGGCCCTTCCACGCCTCCACAGCCCCACCGGTCAGCAGTTCTCCAGAATGCTCAAGCTCTCTGTCCTATTACCCACGTGGTGTCCTGTGCTTTGCCACATGGCCCCGGAAGCCCACAGGAGACTGTATTCCTGCTCTGCATTCCTGCCTATGGCCCCCGAGGGCTCTTTGAGTGCCTTGCTCAACTTGAGGCGCTGCCTGGAGAGGACTCTGCATGAGGTTTCTCCTGCAAGAGCCCTGCCAGTGCTCCGCCTCACTCATCTTCCAGTGACAGGTGCCAAATCCGATCCCTGAGGAGCTTTTCCCATCATTCCACACTGCAGCCAGTCTCATCAGGATTCAACCCCCAGGTGCTACAGCTCATGAAGATTCAAGCCCACACTAGGCCACCGCAGGCCACAGAGAGCCATGCCTTTCTTTTCATTGTTTCATCCCCTCTCTCTCTTTCTCTCTCCCTCTCTCTTTTTCTCTCTCTTTCCCTCTCTCTTTCCCTCCCTCTGTCTTTTTCTCTCTCTTTCTCTCTCCCTCTTTCTCCCTCCCTCTTTCTCTTTCTCTCTCCCACCCCCTCTCTCTTTCTCTTTCCCTCTCTCTCTTTCTTTCCCTCTCTCCCTCTCTCCTTTTTTCCCTCCCTCTTTCCTTCTTTCTCTCCCTCTCCCTGTTTCTCTCTCCCTCTCCCTCTCTCCCTCCCCCTCTTCCTCCCTCTCTACCTCTCTCTCTCCCTGTATCTCTCTCCCTCTCCCCCCCTCCCTCGCTCCCTCCTCCCCCCCCTTCCTCCCCACCCCCTTTTGTTTCAAAGAAGCAAAAATCAAAAACCAGTACTTCAACTTGGTTAGGGCAGTCTAGTCTTACAATGAAAACTAGGTAAGACCTTCCCCCAGAGCACCAAGAAGCCAAGGATTTTTATGGTAGGAGAAGAAAAAATGAGGTAGGAGAGCAGTGAAGAATTGAAGTGGAACCTTGAGATAAAGCCTGGACTGTTTCATGTCTGATCAATCTATAAGTGTTAGCTACTCTCTTCATGGACATTTAATCTGCTTGATATTCAGATAAAAATCTACGGTATGGCCTCAGCCGGTCGGCTCAGGTCGAAGCCTGCACACCAGCAGCTCTGAGCTTGCCTTTTTATTTTAAGCCAGGAGACACAAAAATCTGGGCAATTGCAAAACAAAATCAGGAACTATAGTACACAAGGAACAAAGTACTGACCGATGAGACTCTCCACATAGGCCCCAGAGACAACTGTAAGGGTCAAAAGGGAAAATTGCATGTTAAATTATCTCAAATATGATGGGGTTTTTTCCCTATTTGAACTTGGATGGTTTGAAGCTTTGGGTATAAATTCCCTGTCTCCTCTATTGACCTTGTTCTGTCGTGCTGTGTGCTGGCCCTGCCTGAGGCCAGGCATTCCCCCGGCCTCTGCAACCTGAGTTCCATATTGTATTTCTTTACAGCTGGCCTATATCGGATACCTGATGCTCTTCAACTATATCGTGTTAGTGAAAATGGAGCGCTGGCCTTCCACTCAAGAATGGATCGTCATTTCTTATATTTTCACCCTGGGAATCGAAAAAATGAGAGAGGTAAATGCTTCCTAAAAGAACATGTAGAAGGAAGAGGGTAGATTGTTGTTTTTGTGGATGGGGATGCTTGGGATCCAAATTAAGCCAGAATCAACTTTCCCTAACTCTGCTAAGCATTGTGTCTTTCCTGTTTGACAGACCCAGAGAGGCTTCACAGGTGAGTTACACTATTTTCTACTCACGTAGCTTTTGCCCCAAGACATCCTCTACTTGTCTTCCACATCATTTACACCTCTCTTTACTCGTCCCAATAAACATGACGTTTTAAATGTTTGCTATTTTTAACTCCCATTTCAACCCTTAATTCGGAGTCTCTTTGGACACAGTCCACCAAGACCAGTATCGTTTCTCCAAATTGTGTTTTAGCAGCTCCAGGGCAAGGGCTCTGCTGTCATTTCTCAATTGAATTTATTTTCTGGTTGATTCCTTCTCCACATTAACCATGTACCTGCTAGGCACCAGTCATTCTACCGGCACCAAGGATCACCAAAACAAAAGCAAAAGCAAAACGCTGATCCTTCAGGGTGAGGTTGTGGAAGTCCCTCATTGAGTCCTTCATCTTTCTGACCTAAAAGAAGGCATCCTCATGACAGTCTAATATGATTTGTCTGAAATCAAAGCTATCCTTTAAGACAATAGAAAAGGCTACATATTGCGTTGCTCTAGCTATATAGCATTCAGGGAAAGGCAAAAAGTATGGAGATGGCAAAAAAGATCCATGATTACCAGATCTCAATCAGGGGTTGAGATGAATATAGGAAGATCACAGGGGGTGTTTGGGACATGAAAACATTCTGTATGATACGACGCCGCAGATACATTTGTCTAAACCCATAGAAAGTTCAACAGCAAGCGTGAGAGCCAAGGAAAGCTAGAAATTCTGATGGAAGACGTTGATAATCAGGTGATGCCGGGGTCGAAGGACAGAGGGGACTATGGGAAATCTCTTTAGTAACTTCTTCTCAATTTTGTTGCAATTCTAAAATGGCTCTAGAAAAACAACAATAAAATAATTTAAAGAGAGAGAGAGAGAGAGAAAGAAAGCTGATCCTATCTGTCTCTTCAGATGACAAGAGCTTCCAAAGTGAATGGGATTAAACGAGGATCCACAAGAGGGCTCTGTTAGCTTGCTCCACACCTGCCACCAACTCCTATTTCACCAGAGGAAGGAGTCAGGGAAGGCAGACTTGGGAAGACGTTCTGACTTCTCTCCATCTTCCCTGCAACTGCAATGAGCAGAAAAGGCCGTTTTTGCTTGTTTGTTTTGAGGAAAGGCTCCAGGCACTTCCACTGCCTCGCTAAGAGCTCGAGAACAAGGAAAAGGAAAATTCCCACAAACCCGCTTCATCACGGAGACGAAAGGGTCAAGGGTCCCTGCCTTCTTGAAAACCGCCTCTCTAGAATGTTCCACAGAGAACTATAGGCAAAAAGATCTTCCCAAAGGCTGGGATATCTGTGAGATGCCGTTGCATAGGGATCATTGAAAACAGCAAAAATCTGACAAAAACTCTTCTCTCCATTCAAGTCGCTTTCTTTGGGGTTTCTTGAACCTGGAGCTACCTTCACAAACATGTTTCCCATCCTGAGAACTTAGGAATATACTAGTCTACTTTTTTTTCCTTTCTTATCGTTTAGGGAATAGTATCCAGGGCCTTGCACATACTAAGTGAGCGGGCACACACACACACACACACCTATTCTTATTTTATAAAGGACTGGATTAAATGACACACGAACAAAAGTGCTGGAATGGATCTGGATATTCCCACCCGTTGTCCACCCCCAAGATCTTCCCATTCACAGCGCTTTCGGCTTCTTCGCCAGAGCTGTGGATTTTCCTGTCTGTCCACTACCAAACAGTCATAAATGTGCTTGGGTCTTTGTGTTGCTGCCTGAGCCCTGAGCCTGCTCCTCCTGAAGTCCCTCTCCTTGTGCGGGGCAGCGCCAGCTGGCGCGCTCGCCTAGACACATACTCCTTCCCCATGATAAGCAGAAGAGGGAAAGACTGGAGCCCAGAGATTGGAGGCTCTCCAGGGACTAGGCTGGAAGAAGACAGGGAGCAGCCTGTACTCCACGGACTGTTCTAGCGCGGAGGCTGCCAAGCAGGCAGGCCGCCAGGAACCTCCAGGCCTGGCTATCCATTTCTTCCGAAGCGGTGTGTGTGTGTGTGTGTGTGTGTGTGTGTCATGAGTGGGAAGACAGGACTTGTGAGGCCCAGGGTCAGGAAGAGGTCAGCTGAAACATCCTGGCTTCTGAGGAAGCTGGGGGAGAGAGTGTCACCCACCTTTGTGCCTGACCCTTCCCTCCATGAACTTGTCCCTCTCTCTTTCTTTCCCCGTGTCCCTGATCTGAACTCGGTCAGAAGACTGAGAGTGATGGATGCCAGAGGCTCCCGTCTTCCTGCCCCTTCCCAGTCCACACAACGCCCTCAGATGCAAACTCCTGGAACCACGGAAAAAGTGTGCACACTGCCATGCCTTCCCTGCATACACAAGGATGGTTTTGTGGGGGTTTTTTTACACACTGCCCTCCCATTCCATCGCCATCTACTTCTTTGCCTATCATCACCAGAGCCAGCCATGGTAATCCCTTATAGCAGCTCTCACAACACTGTTTACCAGGCCTGAGGAGACATGATCTCATCCGGGTTTTTCTCCCCCACTGCTCTGTGAGGTCAACAGGGTGGCTGTAAAGCAACTCCACTGTACAGATACGGGAACACGGACTCGGAGGATGCGTGGTTTTTGCGTCTTCCAGCTAGAAAGGAGGGCTCGTTCTGACCCCCGCTGGGTGTCTGAGATTCACGGCTCTTTACCGTCCCCAGGATGCTTTGCAGGATCGCAGGATATTAAAGGCAGGTGCCAACGGACTGCTCAAGAGGGGAAGGGGTAGAGTGCCTGCCCTTTTACTCCACTGTCCCCCAGCTGCTCTCCTTTCCTCTTTTCCTTGACTATTGAGACTTCACCCCCCAAAAAAGTTTTCCATATTTAAAAATTATACTGTAAACCTCTATGGCTAGCAGTTTTAACAAAGTCGGAGCAAAGGTTTAGAAAACCATTGTCATCCTTGGAAGAAGAGGGTTTCTCCCACGTAGACATTGATTGATTGATTGATTGATTGATTGATTGATTGATTGCCTAGTTAAGACAGAGCCAGAGGCTAAGAGACCATCAGATACCATCCACTATGGGGATAGAGTAGGACAGTGGTTCTCAGACTAGTCACCAGCAGGACCTACTCACTTGTCAGGAAAGCAGATCTTCAGTCCCATCCTAGGACTGCTAAAGGTGGAGTGCAGGGCCCAGCCACCTGAGCTGTGATTTGGATATACAATGATGATTACAAACCCCTGTGTTAGGGCTTAGGGAGGGGAAACTATGGAAGATAGAGAGAGGTGCTGCCTAGTAGCTCTTGGTATCTTGTTCAACCTTAGAATCCCCCAAACTCCCGTTTTCAGTATTTGAGATCAGCGAGAAGCTATAGAGTAGACATAAAGATTCAAAGAACTAGCTGCTGGTAGCCCTGGTTTTCCTCCCTTTGAGAGGTCTTGAGTGCGAGGAGGATGGGTCATAGCTTGAAGACATGGAACCTCAGGATAATTGTTAGAGATCTGTGATCTGTGAAAGTGTCCCAGCTGAACAGGGTCAGTAAGTGGGTCTCCTGGCCTCTCACACCTTGGGGCAGACTATGGTTCAGGATTGGTGTCACTTCTGATTGTGGTATCTGAACCAGAGTAGAGAGGGAGAGTGAATTGGAGGGATGTGAGGGGAGGCCACAATGTGGATGATAACTTTTCCCTGTATGCAGAAGAAGCTCAGAAAGCTTAAGTATGCTCGTATTTTAATTTATCTTAGTTGCTGTGCAGATGTACATTTCCTCATGTGGGATAGCCCTGGTAGGTTTAAGGTAAATAAAGAACTCTACTTTGGCCAGGTGTGGTAATGCACACATGTAATCCCAGCTAGCTACTCAGGAGGCTGAGGTAGAAAGAGGGAGAGCCTGAGACCAATCTGGGCAAGACCCTGGCTCAAAATTTAAAAAGAAGAACAAAATTAAAGGGCTGGAGATGTAGCTTCATGGTAAAGCCTTTATATAGCATGCATGAGGCCCTAGATTAATTGTCAGGAGAAGTCCACCCAACAGATAAGCTATGTAAGAGACTGAGCAGCACAAAGTAGAGCTGGCAAAAAGGAGTTGAAGCAAGAGAAAAATGGAATCCTCCTAGAGCCACGGCCTGAGTAACCGAATATGGTGGAGTTGTTTACTAAAATGGAGGAGGGTTCGGGGAGAAGATCCGCAGTGTATTGCATCTAAACAATGGTACAGCAAAACCCAATGCACGTCAGAAGTCCAGTCATCTCAGAGAGTTGACTTGGTTGTGTCCCCATAGCACGCAAGCATCCAAGTAGATGCAACTTCTGCTGTAGGCCAACAGGGGCTGAAAATGTAGGTAAGAAAGCCCCGCTCACCGCCCTGTCTCCTTCCTGTCTTGTAGATTCTGATGTCAGAGCCGGGCAAGCTGCTGCAGAAAGTGAAAGTGTGGCTGCAGGAATACTGGAACGTCACCGACCTAATCGCCATCCTTTTGTTCTCCGTGGGAATGATCCTGCGGCTTCAAGACCAGCCCTTCAGGAGTGATGGCCGCGTCATCTATTGTGTGAACATCATTTATTGGTACATCCGTTTACTAGACATCTTCGGCGTGAACAAGTATCTGGGTCCTTATGTAATGATGATTGGGAAAATGGTGAGTGAAATCCTTTGATTCCATGCTGTAAGTTCTCGGGGAAGAGTGGTGATAATAGGAAGCGGAATAGAATGCATTTGGACCTGCTGGCTACCTCTATACACAAAGGTTTGCATTTGCAAACTGAAAAAAATATGTAAAGATCATCTCTTCTGTGCTAGGCCCTGGCCTAGGTCTTCAGTACACATAGATGTTCCTTCCATGAGATTGAAAAGGAAGGAAGGAAGAAAGGAAGGAAGGAAGGAAGGAAGGAAGGAAGGAAGGAAGGAAGGAAGGAAGGAAGGAAGGAAGGAAGGAAGGAAGGAAGGAAGGAAAAGAAAGAGGGAGGGAGGGAGGCAGAGAATCCAGATATGTCTAAAATACAAAAAAATGTACATGAGCAGGTCATGTAGTGCACATCTATAATCGCAGCTCTTTGGCTGGAAGGATGGAATATTAAAGACCAGCTCAGGCAAAGTTAGCAGGATTCTATCTCAAAGACAAATGTTAAAAGAAATGAGTAGGAGGGCTGGGGCAGAACTCAAATGGTATAATGAGGCCCTGGGTTCAATTCCCAGTATCACCAAAAATAAAAAGAAGCATGAGTCAGGAAATAATTCCCATGGAGTTTACATTTGAGGGAGGGATGGAAGGAGTGAGTATAGAGGAGGGAGTGAGGGAAGAAGGAAGGGAGGGGTATGGAGGAGGGAGGGAGGGAAGAAGGAAGGAGGGAAGGAAGGAAAGAAGGAAGGAGAAAAAAGAGAAAGAAAGAAAGAAAGAAAGAAAGAAAGAAAGAAAGAAAGAAAGAAAGAAAGAAAGAAAGAAAGAAAGAAAGAAAGAAAGAAAGAAAGAAAGAGGGAGGGAAGGAGGGAGGAAAGGAAGGAAGGAAGGAAGGAAGGAAGGAAGGAAGGAAGGAAGGAAGGAAGGAAGGAAGGAAGGAAGGAAGGAAGGAAGGAAAAGGAAGGAAGGAAGGAAAAGGAAGGAAGGAAGAAGGAAGGAAGGAAGAAGGAAGAGGGAGAGAGGGGTATGGAGTGGGGAGGGAGGGAAGAAGGAAGGAAGGAAGGAGAGAAAAAGAGAAAGGGAAAGAAAAGAAAGGAAGGAAGGAGGGGCTGGGAAGGTGGCTCAGTGGTAGAGCGCTTGCCTTGCATGCATGAGGCCCTGGGTTCAATTCCTCAGCACCACATAAGCAGAAAAAGCCAGAAGTGGCACTATGGCTCAAATGGTAGAGCACTAGCCTTGAGCTGAAGAGCTGAGGGACAGCGCCCAGGCCCAGAGTTCAGGCCCCATGACTGGCAAAAAGAAAAAGGAAGGAAGGAATAAGGAAGGAAGGAAGGAAGGAAGGAAGGAAGGAAGGAAGAAAGAAAGAAAGAAAGAAAGAAAGAAAGAAAGAAAGAAAGAAAGAAAGAAAGAAAGGAAGGAAGGAAGGAAGGAAGGAAGGAAGGAAGGAAGGAAGAGTGAGCAGGAGAGAGGGGGAGGAAGGAAAGAAGAAAGGAAGGATGGAAAGAAGAAGAGGAGGAGGAGGAGAAAGGAGAGAGAGAGAGAGAGAGGCCGGGCACCAGTGGCTCCCGCCTATAATCCTAGCTAATCAGGAGGCTGAGATCAAAGCCAGCCCAGGCAGGAAAGTCCATGAGACTCTTATTTCCAATTAACCACCAGAAAAGCAGAAGTAGCAGAAGTGGTTCAAAGTGTGTAGAGTGCTAGCCTTGAATGAAAGAGCTCAAGGATAGTGCCCAGGCCCTGGTTTCAAGCCCCATAACCAACAAAAAGAAAAAAAAAGAAAATCCCAAGTGACAAGCTATAGGTGTCTGCACAAACAGGTGAGTGCTGATTCTGGTCCTCATGGACCCCAGAGCCGCACCCAGCCTTGTTCAATGTAAACCCCAGGAGGACAGCCGGAGCTTGTAAGTGGAAGAATAAGGGTACTCACTCCTCAGACTCACCATGGAAAGAACCGGAGCCTCAAGCCAGATATAGGCACTTTTGCCAATTCATCTACTGCCCTAACTTTCTCAAATACTTCACCTTTATGAGACATGCTAAGCATATTCCACCTAACCTGGGAAGATGCCTCTTAATGAACAATCTATTTTTTAATAGTGTTCATTTACCTCCTAAGAGCTGTTGAAACCAACAAGTGCTATTAGAGGCTCGTTCTCAGTATCACTCAAGTTTTACTAGTACATCATTGCAAACTCAAGATTTCTTAAACATTGCTGTGTATAAGTTCACTGAAATGAATCTTAAGTGACCAAAACTCTTCCCATAAAACTCACTGGCAAAGTCATGCAAAGAGAAGAAAAACTTAAATTCAGACTGAATTGGATAGGAGGCCTTGAGTGATTTATTTAACCTCTTAGAGACTCAGTTTATTCATGTCTAAAGTGGTAATAAGTAATAAATGAGTATCATGTGATTATGATGATGATTATTATGATGGTTGTAACACATATGCTAAATTTCCAACAATGGCCGGCTCATAGTTGACTGATTATAGCTTTTATCATTGTTTATATGACATATAAAGTACAATGAAAATACAAATAGTAACTGAACATGGTTAATCTGCAATATATCTAGGACCTTTGTGTATATAAGCTTAGTGTTTGTCATATTGGCATTGTTTAGGACGAATTGTCACCAGACTTATTCTGGAGAGGAAAAACTTGAATTCTCAAGCCTCAGTTAGCCAAAACTGAGCCCCAGATCAATTGAATATTTTTTAAGTAGGACAAATGTATTACTCTATTAGCTTATTGTATCTTTGTACTTTAAATACAAATTTGAGATTGTGGTGGAAATTCCTATGTCTAAGAGGGACGCTGGTGGCTCACACCTGTAATCCTAGCTACTCAGGAAGCTGAGATATAAGGATCATGGTTCAAAGCCAGCCTGAGCAGGAAAGGACAGGAGACTCTTAACTCCAATTAACCACCAGAAAACCGGAAGTGGCACTATGGTTCAAGTAGTAAGTAGAGTGCTAGCCTTGAGCTGAAGAGCTGAGGAACAGTGCCCAGGCCCTGAGTCAATGAAAACAAAGAACATTGAAATGGTTCAAAAATCAGACCAATTTTTTTTAACCTTGATACTCTGGATAGTTTGGACTGTTTTGTTGTTTTTGTTTTTGTCTTTGATTGTTTTGATTTCATTTCTTTTGAGACAGGGTCTCACTATATATCCTAGACTAGCCTCCTTGAACTCAAAAATCTTCCTGCCTCTCCTCCCAGTGTTGGGATTATAGAAATGTAACCGCTGGTTTTGCCTGGGTAATTCCTTGTTGTATGATACCACTCCTTGCGTCACAAGCTGTTTAGCAGTGCCCTCAGCCTCTGTTCACTAGATGCCCGTAGTATATAGAAACACAAACACACACACACACACACACACACATAATTATAACAATAAAAAACAGATCTCTACACATGACGGAATGTCCCAGGGTTACAAATGTGACCTCTATAAAGGATGATTAAATTGGAGAGATTATTTTTTTCTGATGGTTATCTTACTTTTTCTCTATATTTTCTTTATATTTCTTGCCTTCTTTTAGCAAATAAAATCTACAAAGACCTAAGCAAACCAAATCTATGTTTTAAAAGTCTAAAGTGGCATACTTGAAATAAACTAATATTGCACAAATACAGCAAGCTCCTTTAAAAATCTATGCCTATTATTTTGACGATGATGTAATTATGCCCAGTTTTGACTAGAATAACGCCTGACTGAGGAGTGAACAAGAGCAATGTACTGCATTTTCTCTACCTTTTAACTTGTGAGTGACTTCATTTATCAGTCAAGAATAAGTAGGAAATGAGGGTACTCAAGGACTTGTCCCTCATGAGGCTTTCAAGATAATTAGCTCAAAAAGTGAGTCATTGATCCAGAAGGTAGAAAAAAATATGCCTGTAGAATTTATCAGTCAGCCAGATGGAATGCCAGGCTGGAAGCTTAACAAAATCTTTCCAGATGTGTTTATCCAGAAAACCTTCAATAGGAGCAGGTCCCCTTCCAATAGTAAGCATCAGGTAACCTGCTAATAACCTGAGGGCTAGAGACAGACAGCTGACAACACTTCTAGAAAGAAGATTGCCAGGCGTTCATTGAAACTGGTTCACTATGTCTTTGTATTTTAGAAGAAACCAGTGCTCCAGGTGTCTAACCACATAGAAAACCTGTTTCCAGCGTGAGGCCAGTTGATCTGCAGGCCCCAAATCCCTTGCAACCCCCACACTATTCTTTCATATTCCACCTCTCAGGGGAAATTGCTCAGCGTACTACAGGGTGACAGTGGTGCACGCCTATAATCCTCGCTACTCAGAAGGCTGAGATGGGAGGATTGAAGTTTGAAGCCAGTGCTGGCATGCAAGTCTGTGAAATTCTCATCTCTAATTTAAAAGCCAGAAGTGGAACTGGTAGAACACTAGCCTTGAGAATCAAAAAAAAAAAGCTCAAAGACAGCATCCAAGGCCTAAGTTCAAGTCCCAGGACAGACATCAATAAAATAAACAAGAAGATTAAGCAACTCACCCCAGGTCCTTTGTCCCTTTCCTTCCCTTCCCTTCCCTTCCCTTCCCTCCCTCCCTCCCTCCCTCCTTCCCTCCCTCCCTCCCTCCCTCCCTTCCTTCCTTCCTTCCTTTTTCTTTCTTTCCTCCTTCTTTCCTTTATTCCTTTCTTTCTTTCTTTTTTCTTTTCTTTCCTTCTTTCCTTTATTCCTTTCTTTCTTTCTTTTCTTTCCTTCTTCTTTCTTTATTAGTCGTAAGGCTTGAATTCAGGGCCTACTCATCGCCCCTGAGCTCTTTTGCTCAAAGCTAGTGCTCTACCACTTGAGCTACAACTCCACTTCTGGTTTCTGATTGGTTGATTGGAGATAAAAGTCTCTTAGGGACTTTTCTACCAGGAGTGACTTTAAACTGCAATCCTCAGATCTCAACCTTCTGAGTAGCTAAGATTAAAGGTATGAGCCACCAGTGCCCAGCTTGCTTTTTAGTTAACAATGAATAAAAACACCTTAATTTTCATACATCCTTTTTTTTTGTATGTGTGTATAGTCCCTTCACTTTTTTTGAGGGTGTTGTAGATTTTATTTCCATGTAGCTATTTTTACCAGCAGAGAAAAAAAAACCCAAAATCTAGGTTGGGGTGATATCTGAGAGCATGCACCCTATTACTCCTACAGTGTGTACTCTCTTCTGTGGAACACACTGGAAGATACTTCTAAGAAGAGGACCAGATCCAACTGTTGAACTAACTGGATGTTTTAGCTTTGAAAACAAAAGAAGCCAGCCCCTGAATCATGCTCAGATTTGGGTATCCATATGAAAGCGAAGATTCAAACGTCGATGTGGCTAAGCATTTGAAGCCTGTGTTTCATCTCTTTGATTATTTTGACCCTGTGGATAGATATCAGAATCAACCCGAATGAAAACACTCCTGAGAAATTAAATGAGTAGACTTTCTGTATTTATTGGCTGCCTTTTCTTGAGTCACGTTGGCTCCTAAATCTCATGAACACACACTTTCCTCTCCCACCCATCTTTTAGTCAGTGGAAACAGGCATAGCGTGAAGGCCCATGTGTGCTCTTTCATTGAAGAAACTACGTATAAGTAAGTGCTGAGAAGCTATTGCAAAATAGAACGGGGAAAGAGAGCTGACCCATGTTTCCTGTAAGACAGTTTCAACACAATCAGCTTGCCTGTTGAAGAGAGGCTTCTGTGACCACTAAACTGAAGGAATAATATATTTATGACAATAAGCCACAAGAAGTTTGGACAGATTCCTATTTAGCTTCAAATTCACACAACACTTTTTTTTTTTTATTTATTTATTTTTTTTCCCAGCCTCCCCCCTCCCTCCCACCCAATCATACCCCCCCTCCCCCCCCCCCGACATTGTAAAGCTGGTTTTGACATGACATTTTGTACTTCTCATTGTTGCAACAGGTCCACCTGAATCCTTAAACGACTTGTTTGTCCCCATCTCCTCCACATGTTATACTGACATCAAATATAGTGAAAGCGGGGGTTACACTGTGGGGGAGGGACATACAAAGCAACAAAGAGATAATATTATAAATGCGTTAGAAACACATGCATGAAAGAAACAAAAACATTAAAATACATATTTGAGGTTTCGTTTTCCTAACATCACATTATTTGACTTTTTCCGCTTGACTCATACCTATACTAGATATTGCAAATAAGGGAAACCATGGGACCTATGTTTCTTTGGGCCTGGCTTACTTCACTTAATATAATTTTTTCCAAGCCTTTCCATTTCCTAACAAATGGGGAAATGTCATTCTTTCTGATGGAGGCATAGAATTCCATTGTGTATATATACCACATCTTCTTGATCCATTCATCTACTGAGGGGCATCTGGGTTGGTTCCATGTCTTAGCTATGGTAAATAATGCTGCAATAAACATAGTTGTGCTGGTAGCTTTAGTGTGGCCTTGTTTGTGATCATTTGGGTAAATGCCCAAAAGTGGGATTGCTGGGTCATTGGGGAGCTCTATGTGAAGTCTTTTGAGGAACCTCCATACTGCTTTCCAAAGTGGTTGAACAAGTTTACATTCCCACCAACAATGAAGTAAGGTTCCTTTCTGTCCACATCCCCTCCAGCATCTGTTGTTGTTAGAGTTCTTGATTTTTGCTGTTCTAACTGGAGTGAGGTGATATCTCAATGTTGTTTTGATTTGCATTTCTTTTATGGCTAGGGATGTTGAACATTTCTTCATGTGTCTATTGGCCATCCTTCTTTCTTCTTCAGAGAAGCTTCTCTTTAAGTCTTTCGCCCACTTACTTATTGGGCAGTTGTTTCTTTGAGGATTTGTTGTTGGGTGGTTTAATTTTTTGAGTTCCAAGTATATTTTAGATATGAGACCCTTGTCCGTTGTATGGCTAGTAAAGATCTTCTCCCAGTCCATGGGCTTTCTATTGATCTTGCTAGCTATGTCATTTGCCCTGCAGAAGCTCTGCAACCTTATACAATCCCATCTGTCCAGCCTTTCTTTGATTTGTTGTGTTTCCGGGTCTTTATTCAGAAAATTTCGGCCTGTGCCAAGGAGACCCAGGGTTTCTCCTATTCCATCCTGTAATGTTTTCAGAGTGTCTGCTTTGAGTTCAAGGTCTTTGATCCATTTGGAGTTGATTCTGGTGCAGGGTGATATATAAGGATCTAGCTTTAGTTTTCTACATGTAGTTAACCAGCTTTGCCAGCACCATTTACTGAAGAGGCTGTCTGTCTTCCATTCTATTGTTTTAGCTCCCTTATCGAAGATTAGATGGCTATAGGTCTGTAGGTTCATTTCTGGGTTTTCAATTCTATTCCATTGGTCCTGAGGTCTGTTCTTATGCCAATACCAAGCTGTTTTGATTACTATGGCTTTATAGTAGAGTTTGAAATTTGGTACTGATATTCCTCCAGCAGTGTTCTTTCCGTTGAGGAGCGTTTTTGCTATTCGGGGTCTTTTATTGTTCCATATGAATTTTTGGATTGCCTCTTCTATTTCCTTGAAGAATGAGGGTGGAATTTTGATAGGTATTGCGTTGAATTTGTAGATAGCCTTGGGGAGTATTGCCATTTTCACGATGTTAATCTTTCCAATCCAGGAGCATGGGAGGTTTTGCCATTTTTTAAGTTCTGTGTTGATTTCCTTTTTCAAGATTTTAAAGTTTTCATCATAGAGGTCCTTCACTTCTTTAGTTAAGTTAATTCCTAGGTATTTTATTTTTTGTGGGGCTATTACAAATGGAGTTGCTTTCCTAATTTCAGCCACACTTTTCTCATTGTTTTGGCCAATGTATTTTAAAGTTGCTTTGAAGCCAGGCTCTGGTGGCTCACACCTATAATCCTAGCTACTCAGGAAGCTGAGATCTGAGGATCACAGTTTGGCTCCAGCCTGTCCAGAAAAGTCTGTGAGATTCATATCTCCAATAAACTACTCCCAAAAGGCCCAAAAGGCCAGAAGTGGTGCTGTGGCCAAGTGGTAGAGCACTATCCTTGAGCAAAAGAAGCTCAGGGACAGTAACCAGGCCCTGAGTTCAAGCCCCAGGACAGGCAAAATAAATGAGTAAATAAATAAATATATAAAGTTGTTTTGCAAGTTGGTTAATTGATCTAAAATTGATTGAGATATCCATGTCTTGGAGAATTCCAGGAAGGTTATAATATCCAAATTTGGTAACTCTACTCTCTCAAAGCAAACTCTTCATTCTAATCTGGAGGATGGGTATGTAAACAGTGCTAGAGTGTGTGCTTAGCATACATTAGGTTTGGGGGTCAATCCCTAGTACAAAAACAATTTTTAATGACATTTGTAGACTTCAATATCATTGATAAAATTAGCATTCATCTTTTTTTTAGATGTGCATATCATTTTGTTAATATCTTTTCAGGAAGATAAGATACCCAAGAGTGGAGTGCTCAGTCTCAGGCATGCTGAATTACAAAGAAGGAAACACTATTTTAACAAAAAGGAAAGAGATCCTTTGTCTTCCAGTTTCAGTCTGGAAACAATTAGTGGAACCAACACTTGTGAGACTAAGGCAGGAAGATCAGGAATTCAGTGCCACCCAGATAGTTCACGACCAACCCAGGTTAAATAGTGAGATCCTGTATCAAAGCAGGGGTGAGGTGTGCTGTAATGTATCATACACCTTACACCTACCACAATTATCAGAGGTACCATGATTAACATAGCCAGCCCAAATCAATGATTATTGCAACCTCCTCTATTTGAGGTGGTATGAAGAAAGCATTTGCCATGTGAGAAACAGATCCCAAATAATAGTGAAACAGATGAGAAGTACTGGAAGGAATAACCAGAAAGAAAGAGTGCTTGGGGGTGCAGGCAAAAGGACTTTTTAAATATTCCAAGGAGAAAAATCCATCATTTCAACAGCAGAAACAAGTGTAGCTCCTTAGTCCACATGGCTCCAAGAAACTTTCCTCCATCACTAACAGGAAACCCTGCAGAAGAAGTATAAGAAAAAAAGAAAAAAAAAACTCTGAGAGCCTGGCATGTGTAGAATAGCATGTATTGGGATGAGGCCATTAGAATAAGAATACGATGGAGATTTGATTTGTCCTAGATTTATTTATTCAAAAAATATTTTTCTTGAGCTTTCTAATTCTTTGTTAGCCTTTTGGAACTGAGAAAGGGAAGGTATTGCATTGCACTAGTTCTTGAAATAGTTCAACTATCCCAATTCCAATTTTGCTAGGAAGAAAAAGACTCAAAGAGGACACCTGGCCTCCCCTAAAAGCAGAAAGAAAAGCTTGTGCTGACACAAGCCTCCATGTTACATGACTCCTATGCATAGACTTGAATAAGTCCCACAGAAATCCATGAAAAAGGAAGGGCCCTAGATGGGCACTGGTAGCTCACACATGTAATCCTAGCTACTCCAGAGGCTGACATCTGAGGATCGTGGTTCAAAGCCAGCCCAGGGAAGGAAAATCCCTGAGATTCCTATCTCCAGTTAACCACCAGAAAACCAGTGGTAGAGCACTAACCTTGAGCAAAAGAGGTCAGAGACAGAGCATCAGGCCCCAAGTTCAAGCCCATGACCAACAACAATGGGGGTGGGGAGAAGAAAAAGGAAGGGCTCTATTGCATGAGAAGATTCAGATAAGATTCTGGAGACATAGACCAACTGTCTTCTTATCTAGACATAACTCCCTATCAAGACATTTCTTAGCAGGAGCCTAGAAAGTGAATCAAAGTTGGCCTCCAGAGAAACTGAATCACGTGCGTTTTCTTTTGTGTCTCCCTCTGCTTCTCCACCTTCCAGATGATAGACATGATGTACTTTGTCATCATCATGCTGGTGGTGCTGATGAGCTTCGGGGTCGCCAGACAAGCTATCCTCTTTCCCAATGAGGAACCATCATGGAAATTGGCCAAGAATATCTTCTACATGCCCTACTGGATGATTTATGGGGAAGTGTTTGCAGACCAGATAGACCGTAAGCAAGTTTATGATTCTCATACACCAAAGTCAGGTATTTAACTTCAATTGAGTCACGTCTTTTCCAAGTTCATTTGTTTGTTCTCAATAAATGGCTCAAGATAGAGGACCGATCCCTAGCTTGCTATCTTGGTGGAAACAAACAATTGCAGAAGGTGAATATAAAATTTTAACAAAGCATTTTTCAAGGTGTATCATCAGGTATGTCCTTTTAGTGACACCAATTCTCTTTATCAAATATGCCAAATTTGATCCAAAAATGAATCCCTTTAAAAGACCTAAATTTTTCTGTGATTCATTTAAAAGCTAAAGACCGGGTGTCAGATATTTCATAATATATCAGGGATATATTATGTTGTACAAGTCCCCATTCCTACCCCAGCCCTCAGTCTTAGCCTTTGAAAATCAATTCCTTGAGTTGGACCTCGGAACAAATAAACAATTCACTGTTTTGCCATGCGAATTCAAGAGTCAGGGCAGACATCTGCATGTTTTCCTCGCACTAGAAATTATTCCAACTCCCCTTGCCACTGTCTGAAATTATGTGCTACTGAGACTCACAGGAAGCTAGAAGTCATTGCCGAGAAGTATGGAAAAATGCCTTAGGTCATAGACGGACTTGCTTTCTGTCAATGCCAGGATTAAAAAACAATAATTAAGTATATCGTGAACTGATTCAGTGTAGAAACCGAGCAAGCAGCCAGCTTCCAGTGTTTCAAGTCCTATTAAGTGCTGATTCTCGGTAATAAACACTCCTTCTAGGGGGAGTTTGAAGATAGTGTTCATCTCGGAGTCTGTTCCAAGATTTTATTTGGACCAAATGTCAGGGCCTACCAGGCATTGGGAAATTATTTGGGAAGAAAGAATCAGGAAAGAAATATTGCCGTGCAGAGGAGTCGAATCCCTGGAGCAACTCTTTCTTATCCTTCACCCCTCCAGAGGAATTGAACTACAACATTGTTAAATTCCCATTTTTCAAGCTTTTCTTGCTTGCTTGCTTGCTTGCTTTCTGACCAGCCAGCTATCTGAGCTGTGGACTCTGAATATGAACAAAGGATACATAACTAGGTAGTAAAGCTGATGAAGAGCAGGAGAAGAGATAAGTTAGTATCTCCCGCCCCATACCTATCCCAGGTAGGATTGAGACCCAGCGTTTATGGACTAAGCAGCAAAAGAGAGTTTGTGCAGGCCTGAGTGTTCTACTAACAGAATATAGCAACCGTCATCTTCCCTTCTTCCACAAAGAATTTTTTTTTTAACAAATACTCTTTCCTTCTCAAAATCTGAGGCAAGCAAGACTTTTTGGGACAACTAATTCGAACAAATATTTGTTCCATGAGACTTAGCAAACTCACCAAGAAAGAATTTTAACTCTGTCCCTTTGCTGTAATGCCTTGGCTGAAATGTACAGCTTTTACTATGACACTTTCCTGGGGACAGAGGAAAAAAAATTTTTTTTAAATTCTCCTTTCAAATAGTCCCCACAAGCAAAAACAAAAAAAAACTTTCAAAGGCCCATCTACGATCATTGTCCTCAGAGATTGTGTTGTTTTCCCCCTGCAAATTGCTTTTCTACTTAGTTACATTATTTTACCTCTTCTACTTCTCCTTGCTTCCCCAAAATGAGATGAAGCCCCGTGGTTTTGTGTGTGTGTGTGTTTCTATTTTGATGGGGTTTTCTGTTTTTTTTTTTTTACAACGTAGGATGGGAGAAGGGAGTTATAGATATATCTTATAAATGGGATTCTGTCTGTCCCTCTACAAGTGGCCATTTATTGATGTTGTACTATGAACCCAGCCTAGTGCAACAAACACTACCATCTTGGCTGAACAAGAGGAGTTATTATTGCTATTTTCAAAGAAGGGCTGATTGTAGTTTAGAACTTGAAAAAAAAAACCCATCCCTGGAGATGGAAGAGCAGTGTCTTGTGTGAATGAAGTATGGAAATAGATTTCCCACCCTGTGAATTACATCTAAGGTGCTGTACGTGTGTATGAATAAATTTCTACCGCCCCTCCCAACCCCCAACTCCCAATACCTGTAACTGACCCAGCTTTGAATGGATATAATCTTGGTGACACCCTTTCCCCAACCTCTTACCTTCCTTGGCGACATTCTGAGATTGGCTGCAACAGTAGCCATTGTTCTAAGCTAAATCAGCCAGTTGTCTGTCTAGAGTGCTAAAGAGCAGTCGTCCTTTCTCAAGTGGTTCTCTGAGTCTACCCCTCTCCCGCCAAATCTGTCATGATATCTGGCCAAAGTCACCCAGCATCCCTGTGCCTTGACATGATTGGATATCTGTACTATGGTGCCGAGTGGGCCCAATGAAGATGGGGATGTCTCATCTGGTGATTCAAACCTTTCCAGGAACACAAGAACCAAGCCATTTGAGAAAGGTACACCATCATTTATGCCTCCCTACAGTGTCGTGCTTCTTCTCTGTGCCACGTGCAGGTTGGCTTGTGAAGCATGTGATCAGGCTGATCGGATCTCATGTCCACCAGGACCCATGGCCCTGCCCAGGGTCTGACAGTCTCATCCTGTGGATGTGCCTTGTGTGGCTTTCTCCAAGCGCTGCTCATTCAAACACTTGCTCAGCTCAGAGCGCCTCATTCTTAACGTGGTGCACGTGCTCCATAGCTAACTCTTCTTTTTTTTTTTTTTAACTTCAAAATTGCTGGATCCATTTCATGTGTGGGGAAATGAGCTCTTTCTTAATTGGGGTGGCTATCTGGAGGGGTGTAACGGGAACTGTGGGGTGGGTGATTACCACCAATTCTACACCTCAGCTTTTAATGCCCTCACTTCTGGGAGGCAGTGTTACCTAACTCTAGTTTTTCTTTTGTATACATGTTACCTTTTTTTGTCTGCCTGGCACTTGCCCTAGACACTGACACTACCAGTGAATCCCAAAGTCTCCAGAATGACACTTGCATGATTACCTTTCAAATGGGCTTAAAAACTAAAATTAAAAAAAAAGAAAGATTGAGTCACTTAAAATCACATCTAAGCTATGTTGCTAGATGCAGATGGTCGACTTTACCCTGGAAACCAGACCTAACCCTGATTTGCTTCATAGAAATGGAGCTGTTATTCAGTTGGCTAATACTTGGGTCCAAATTGTCTCTGCTTATATGTACTTCTTCTGTATACTGCTAGCTCTTTAAAACCCAACTAAGATCTACCATAAAGTGACTCAGACTCCAGGTGGTCATAAATTATGACATACTTTAGGGTGGTATCATTAGGGTCACCCATGTTGCATGGCTTCTGAGAGCCATGCAGGTCAGGATTTTACTGGGTATGAAAGAGGAAAGGTCAGTTCAGTTCCACTAGATACAGTATCTACTAGATACAAAATACTTTTGCAGCAGTAGCCACAGAAAAGCCAGAGCAAGGCTGGGAAGGTGGCTCAGTGGTAGAGCACTTGCCTTGCATGCATGAGGCCCTGGGTTCGATTCCTCAGCACCACATAAGCAGGAAAAAAAGCCGGAAGTGGCGCTGTGGCTCAAGTGGTAGAGTGCTAGCCTTGAGCTGAAGAGCTGAGGGACAGCGCCCAGGCCCAGAGTTCAGGCCCCACGACCGGACCCCCCCCCCAAAAAAAAGCCAGAGCAAAGTTAAGACTGAATGGACTCTTACCAGCTTAGGAATCTAGCTCTACAGTTTGGTGGGTGAGGTTCTTGGCAGTTCACCTTTGTTTGCAGGGGAAAACAATAGGATGTCTTTGGCTTTTCCAGCCTTTGAGTGAATGAGACTTCTTATTTACAAGGCATCCTTGTGCTGTCTGCTGGATATCCAGATTCCCCAGGCTGCACCAAGACAGGGAAAATGAATCATGCTATTGAATGCATTAAATGAGAGTCTAAATTTAGTTCTTCTTTCTGCCGCTCTGAGTATTTTTATAAGTTTATATAGTACTGTGAAAGCAGAATGTCCAAAACTTACTTTCCTCCATGACAACTTAATATTATCTACCTATTTTCACTCACTGCAAATTAGCTTTATCCAATTCTACTTAATGCATGGGTCAATCTTTTCTTACTGCCTAGGGCTTTTCTGCTCGAAATTAATAGACATGCTGGGGTTGTAGGGGTTTTATTTTGTTTAAGTGTTGATTGATTTAGTACAAAGCTCTGCTACTTAAAAAAAATCTATTGCTCTAGTATCCATGTTATCTCTGTGACAGACTACAAACAAGAATCGTGTGTGTGCATGTGAAGCTGAAAAGAAAATACTCTCCTATCTTACTTTTCTGCCTCATCTTAATTGCCCCTCACTTCAGGTATGGAAATTAGGACAGCTTATGAAGCCCTTTGCTGAAATACGTCTCTGTATGGGGGAAGCAGAGAGTACCAGGAGCAGGGAGGGTGGAGATTTTTATGCATCTCAGCTGTTAAACTCCAGTTCTCAAAACTCAGGGCTGGGTATCTATCTGTTTAGTATTCCAGACTGACCACCAATGCATTCAGAGCACACTCATGCCAACAGCTATAGCGTGACAAGTGCTGTCTGACCAGAGAACTATTCTGGAAAAGAAAAACTTGCGCCAGTGCCAACTTTGGGAGAAAGGGGAAATTGTTTATTTGGGATTTGTTTTCACAAATTGCTGAGGAAGCAAGCCACCATCATGGGCCATCATCCCCATTTTCTCTCCCAGAAAGTCAGCTCACATTATAGAAATACCCATCCGACTTGTTGATTAATGAAAACCGAGGCTTGATGGATTTAGAAATAACAGAGCTGTCTGCAACAGGCCTCGGCCATGAGTCAGGACATCAGCTGGGGCTGCAATCAATCTGAGTCCATTATCATCTTCACTTAACACTTGCTTACAGGCTGGGCTCCATGTTAATTCATTTATTCTTCATGTGATAGGTATTCCCTTTATTCCTGCTATGACCTAGGAATGGAGGCATAAGATATTCATGACAGAGATACTAGCTTCAAGAACTTTATAATCCAAGAGAGGCAAACTGGCATTGACAATCCATGAGTAG